GACAACTATACATTCTGCTGTGATTTGGTGGAGTTCTATAGATGTCTCTTTGGTCTAATTGACTTAGAGTGTTACCTTAGTCTTCTATTTCCTTTTGATTTTCTTAGTAGTTCTATTCATTGTTGAAAGTCAGGTATTGAGGTTTTCTACTACAGTCTGGTATTCTCAGAGAATTTGTTCCCCTGTACGTCTTTCACTACTTTTTTGAATAAAGGGAATATTTTCTAGTATAGTCATGAATTGTTCAAGGACAGTGAAACATTCTGAGAATTGCATCGTTAGGCAATTTTATTGTTGTGTGAATATTGTAGACTGTACTTATAAAAATCTAGATGGTATAGCGGGCTGTACACCTAGGATATATGGTATAACCTTACTGCTTCTAGGCTACAAACTTGTTTGGCATGTGACTCTACTGAATACTGTAGGCCGTTGCAATACAACGATAAGTATAATGCAACATACTAGACGTTTTGATGACTGGTGTCACTAGGCAATATTAATTTTTCAGCTCCATATATGAGACTACTATCATATGCAGTTTGTCATTGACTAAAATGTCATTATGCAGCACAAGACTATGACATTTTAAATTTTTACATTTTTCTCTATATTTTTTGGCTTTTTTTTTTTTTTAGTGGTTACTCAAGGGATTATCAGGTACAGCTTAAAATTTATACTGACTTAATTGCAGTGAGATATAGAAATAGATTTGAATCCCCCCAAATCCCCACATGAAAATAGACAAAACAAATATACAGCAAAACCAAAAGCCACAGACAATCTTTACAACAAAACTAAGTCTTTTCTGTGATCATATTGGCAGTGATTGTATTAGTATTACTATTCTGAGATGATTCTATGTGTAAAAAAGAAAAAAAAAAATTAATAAAAAAAAAAAAAAAAAGAAATATTCTATTTTGAATAACTTTTTTTGTGCCACTGTTAACATCATTATGTGTTACAAACCTGTGTTGTTATAATTAGTATTTTATGTAATTTCATATTTTTAGAGAAGCTGAGAGAAGAAAGGAGAGCAAATAGATGTTTACAGAGTTTGGTTCATTAACATTTTTATTTACTATTGTGTTTTTTTCTTCATTTATTTCTATGGATTTGAGATACCATCTCTTGTCATTTCCTTAGTCCAATACAGCTTTGCTTCTACCTGCCTCCTATGGGCTGATACTGCCAAATATATTGTAATTTTTATGTGTTATAGGCCCAACAATACAATTACATGCATATTGGCAGGGTGTGGAGACTCACGCCTATAATCCCAGCACTTTGGTATGCTGAGGCAGGTGGACCACTTGAGGTCAGGAGTTGGAGACCAGCCTGGCCATCGTGGCAAAACTCCCATCTCTACTAAAAATATAAAAATGAGCCAGGTGTGGTGGCACATACCTGTAATTCTAGCTACTCAGGAGGCTGAGGCATGAGAATTACTTGAACCTGGGAGGTGGAGGTTGCAGTGAGCTGAGACTGCACCACTGTACTCCAGCCTGGGCAACAGAGTAAGACCTTGTCTCAAACAAACAAACAAGAAAACCTAATACATTACAATTATATGCATATTGTTTTAAAAGTTGCTTTTTAAATCAGTCAGGAGAAGAAAAGAGTAATATGTAATGATACTGTTTTTATATATACCCACATAATTCCCTTTGTTGATTCTCTTTGATTTTTTTGTTTGGAATTAAAATATGGTTTTGGGTGAGTTTCTTTCAACCTGAAGAGCTTTCTTTAGCATTTCTTTCTTTTTTTTTTTTTTTTTTTTCCCTTTTTTTTTAGACGGAGTTTCATTCTTGTTACCCAGGCTGGAGTGCAATGGCGCGATCTCGGCTCACTGCAACCTCCGCCTCCTGGGTTCAAGCAATTCTCCTGCCTTAGCCTCCCGAGGAGCTGGGACTACAGGCATGCGCCACCATGCCCAGCTAGTTTTTGTATTTTTAGTAGAGACGGGGTTTCACCATGTTGACCAGATGGTCTCGATCTCTTGACCTCGCGATCCACCCGCCTCGGCCTCCCAAAGTGCTGGGATTATATAGCATTTCTTTCTCTCTCTTTCTCTTTCTTCTCTCCTCCCCTCCCTTCCCTACCCTTCCCCTTCCCCTTCTCCTTCTCCTTCTCTTTCCCCTTCCCCTTCTCCTTCCCCTTCCCCTTTCCTTTTTTTTTTTGAGGCGGAATCTCACTCTGTTGTCAGGTTGGAGTGCAGTGGTGCAGTCTCTGCTCACTGCAACTTCCACCTCCTGGGTTCAAGCAATTCTCCTGCCCCAGCCCACCGAGTAGCTGAGATTATAAGTGTGTGCCACCACTCCTGGCTAATTTTTTTTTGTATTTTTAGTAGACACAGGGTTTCACCATGTTGGCCAGGCTAGTCAGATTTTGTTTATCTGGGAATGTTTCTGTTACATTTTTATTTTTGAAAAATGACTCTCCTTTTTATAAGATTCTTAGTTGAGGCTGGGCATGGTAGCTCATACCTGCAGTCCCACCACTTTGGGAGGCTGAGGCAGGTAGATTGAGCCTACAGGTTTGAGACCAGCAACATGGTGATACTCCGTCTTTACCAGAAAAATACAAAAATTAGCCGGGTGTGGTGGTATGCGGCTATACTTATAGTTGCGGCTACCTGGGAGGCTGAGGTGGGAAAATGGCTTCAGCGCAGGAGGTAGAGGTTGCAGTGAGCTGAGATTGTGCCACTGCCCTCCAGCCAGGGTGACAGAGCCAGACCCTGTTTCAAAAAAAAAAAAACTGTTTAGTTGACAGATTTTTTTTTTCTTTGAGCAGTTTGAATATCTCATCTCACTGTATTCTCTGGCCTTCTTGTTTCTGGTGAGAAATTAGCTCTTAATCTTATCAGGTGTCTCTCATATATGATGACTTTTTCTTGCTGCTTTCAAGATTTTTTTCTTCAGTTTTAACGTTTTGACTGTGATGTGTCTTTGTATGGATCTCTTTGTATTTATCCTGCTTGGAGTTCACTGAGTTTCTTGGATATATAGATTAAGTTTTCCATCAAATTTGTAATACTTTTAGCCATAATTTCTTCAGATATTTTTCCTTTTTCTTTCTGTATTCTCCTGGTACTCATTGTGCATATGTTGGTACACTTAGTACCCATATTCCTTTAAGGCTGTGTTCATTTTTTCTCCTTTTTCCTCCCCCTCTGTCAGTTTCCATAGTCTTTATTAATCTATCTTCATGTTTGCTGATTCTGTCTTATGCCAGCTTGGATATACTGTTGATCTTGCTAGTGAATTATCGATTTTAGGTCCAGGTTTGGTGGCCCACACCTTTAATCCCAGCACTTTGGGAGGCCAAGGCAGGAGCATTGCTTGAGTTTAAGAGTTCAAGACCATCCTGGGCAACATAGTAAACCCCATTTTAGTTATTGCACTTTTTTTTTTTTTTTTGAGACAGGGTCTTGCTCTGTTGCCCAGGCAACAATTATGGCTCACTGCAGCCTCGACTTTCTGGGCTCAAGCAGTCTTCCCACCTCAGCTACCAAGTACCTGGGACCACAGGCATGTGCCATCATTCCTGGCTAAGTTTTTGTATTTTTTGTATTTTATATATATATATATATAAAGATGGGGTTTCACGATGATGGCCAGGCTGGCCTTGAACTCCTGACCTCAGGCGAGCCGCCCACCTCGGCCTCCCAAAGTACTAGGATTACAGGCGTGAGCCACTGCGCTCAGCCAGTTCTTTTAAAAATAATTTTCTCCTTATTGTATCACCTACTTAATGAGACGTTGTCATCCTGCCTTTTACTTACTTCAAGCATGGATTTTGTTTTTTTGATCATATTTATAATGTTTGCTTTGAAGTCTTTACTTATTTCAATGGCTGGACCCTCTCAAAGGTATTTCTTTTGATTTATTTTGCCTGCTTTTCCCCCTGTGTTTGAGACCCACATTCCTATTTCTTTTATGTTTCATAATTTTTGTTAAGTGTTGACATTTTGGGTAATATATCAACTCTGAATATTGAGTCTTTCCTCCTTTCTGTCCTCTATGTTATTGATTCTTTCTTGAAAATTACTCAGAATACTTAGGATTGTACCTACAGTTAGAATATTCATATTAGATGTGTCTATGATTAAAAACTTAGGTTCTGGCCAGGCGCAGTGGCTGACACCTCTAATCCCAACACTGAGAGGCTGAGACAGAAGAATTGCTTGAGGCCAAGAATCTGAGACCAATCTGGGCAACAGAATAAAACCCTGTTTCTCCAAAAACATTAAAAATTTAGGCAGATGCGGTGGTACTCACCTTGTAGCCCCAGCTACTTGGGAGGCTGAGGTGGGAGGATTGCTTGAGCACAGGAGGTTAAGGCTGCAGTGAACTGTGATCCCAGCCTGGATGACAGAACAAGACCTTGTCTCAAAAAAAAAAAAAAAAAAAAAAAGACTTGGGTTCTATAAAATGCAGTTTGTATCCTTAGTGATCTCTTTTCCATTTCTCCTGGCAGTGCATTGTTCGTGAATAAATGATGTTTCCATATGAATGAGGTATTATCATAGTTAGACATTTTTATAAATCCTGAGGCCTTTGTCTTTTTAAGTAATTTCATTTTATTGTAATTTTTTTTAGATGAAGTCTTGCTCTGTTGCCCAGGCTGGAGTGCAGTGACACAGTCATAGCTTACTGCAGCCTCAAACTCCTGGGCTCAAGCAATCCTCCTGCCTTGGCCTCCTAAAGTGTTGGGATTACAGGCATGAACCATAACAACTGGCCATTTAATTTATTTATTTATTCTTTTTCTTTTTCTTTTTTTTTTTTTTTTTTTTGCATGCACTTAGGGCATAGCCATTTTATTTATTTTATTTTATTTCATTTTTTTAGAGACAGAGTCTCACCCAGTCAGTTGGGCCAGCTCACTGCAGCCTCAAACTTTTGGGTTCAAGCGATCTTCCCATTTCAGCCTCCTGAGTAGCTAGGACTATAGGCGCATACCATCATGCCTGGCTTTTGTCTTTAATATGAAGTTTGTATGTAATTTTTTTTTGTAATGGAATAGTTTTAGTTAATGAATAATACTTCTTCCTTTTAGGTTACACCTGTGTTTGAGGATTGGACTACTATTGATTGGTATCGATTTTTCTGTTTATGGGAGAAGTTGCCAACTTCTATGAAAAGGGTAGCAGAGCTAGTGGGAGTTGAAGAGGGGTTCTTGGCTCGCTGTGTGAAAGGAAAAGTAGTAGCCAGAACTGAGAGACAGCACCGACAAATGGCCATCCATAAAAGGTAAAGGTCAAGATCTCTTGGCTCTCTGGTATTTAACACAGTGTCTTGCATGTAGTAGATGCCTATTGTAGTCACTTTCATTGTCAATAAAATCAAAATTTTGGCAGAGTATAAGGTTTTTCAGTTTTTTATATTTTCTGAATTTATTGGTATTTTAGTTTCTTTCTGCAACTTACAGTTTAGCAGCTGTTACATACAAAGATCTTATCTTTTAAAGTGGAATATTTAATTCTCTTTTGTAAAGAAGGTATGGCTCAGAAGAACCGCCAACTTACTGTGACTTCACTTGGGGTTATGCTTTGTACCATGCTTAGAAGTGATGCATTACCAGTAGGGAAGAAGAGCTAATTAAAAGATTCAGATGGAGAAATTGTACAGGCTGTTAGCTTCTTTGATGAATTGCCGCTTCTTGGAAATGTAATGAAATTGGCTGGGCGCAATGGCTCATGCCTATAATCCCAACACTTTGGGAGGCCAAGGTGGGCAGATCACTTGAGTTCAGGAGTTTAAGATTAGCCTGGCCAATATGGTAAAACCCTGTCTCTACTGAAAACACAAAAATTAGCTGTGCTTGGTAGCACACACCTGTAATCCCAGGTACTTGGAGGCTGAGGTGGGAGAATCGCTTGAACCTGGGGGGTGGAGGTTGCAGTGAGCTGATACTGCGCCACTGCACTCCAGCCTGGGAAACAGAGTGAGATTCTGTCTCCAAAAAACAAAAAACAAAAAAAAAGGGGGGGGGGCTTCCAGGCGCGGTGGCTCACGCCTATAATCTCAGCACTTTGGGAGGCCAAGGTGGGCAGATCACAAGGTCAGAAGACAGAGACCATCCTGGCCAACATGGTGAAACCCCGGCTTTACTAAAATACAAAAAGTAGCTGGGCGTGGTGGCATGCGCCTGTAATCACAGCTACGTGGGAGTCAGAGGCAGGGGAATCGCTTGAATCCGGGAGGGGGAGGTTGCAGTGAATGGAGATTGCGCCACTGCCCTCCAGCTTGGCTACAGAGTGAGACTCCGTTTAAAAAAAAAAAAAAAAAAAAGCAATATAATGAAATTATTTTTCTTAAAAAAACATTGGTCTCTAGTATATTATTTACAACATGGTTAAGTATAAATTTTATAAGGATTTATATGCTTGGATTATTTTTGCTACTTTTTTTTTTTTTTTTTTTTTGAGACGGAGTTCAGCTCTGTAGCCCAGGCTGGAGTGCAATCGCGCAATCTCGGCTCACGCAACCTCCGACTCCCGGGGTTTAAGCAATTCTCCTGCCTCAGCCTCACAAGTAGCTGGGATTACAGGGACCGCCACAACACCCGGCTAATTTTTTTAATATTTTTAGTAGAGACAGGGTTTCTCCATGTTGTCCAGGTTGGTCTTGAACCCATGACCTCAGGTGATCCGCCAGCCTGGGCCACCCAAAGTGCTGGGATTACAGGTGTGAGCCACTGAGCTCAGCACTACTGTTGTTTTTTAAATCAGAATTGGATGCTATATTTAGATTCTGTCGTCTTACTGAAGTAATGATATACATGTAACTGTATATCAAGTTATCTTTTAAATTTTTGTGCCATCACCTTTCTTGAACCAAGTCTCATTTCTTGGTATTAGCAGTATTAAATATGGGCAACTTTTTGTTATACAGACATTATTTCTTTACTTTAGTACTAATGCATGTCAAAACTTGCTTTGCAAGCATTGATCTCAGTCTTTGTTCACTAAACCTATTTTCTATTAACAATCTTACCAGAATGTATTTATATAAGCTCTCTATTGCCTTTCAGGTTTTTAGTCATTTTGCAACACACAGTATCTCCTAGAAGACATAAATGATCTCTTATCATGTTTTTGGTGATTTATTCCCAGGTTTTTCACCAGTCTTGTGCTATTAGATTTAATCAGTGAAGTTCCGTTAAGGAAAATTATTCAAAAATATGGATGCAATCGTGGACAGATTCAATCTTTGCAACAGTCGGCTGCTGTTTATGCAGGTCAGTTAAACAAAGGGTTTCACATTTATTTAAGACTGTGATTTGAGGTCAAGATTACTTATTTTTTCAAATTCCATTTTACTGTAAGCCTCTTAATTTTTTTATTTTTATTTTTATTTTTATTTTTATTTTTTTGAGACAGAGGCTCACTCTGTCACCCAGGCTGGAGTGCAATGGCATGATCTCGGCTCACTGCAACCTCTGCCTCCTGGGTTCAATCGATTCTCCTGCTTCAACCTCCTGTGTAGCTGGGATTACAGGCGTGTGCCTCCATGCCCGGCTAATTTTGTATTTTTAGTAGAGATGGGATTTCTCCATGTTGGCTGGTCTTGAACTCCTGACCTTAGGTGAGCCGCCCACCTCAGCCTCCCAAAGTGCTGGGATTATAGGCGCAAGCCACAGAGCCTGGCAGTAGGCCTCTTTAAAAGTGCTATCATTGTGTATAGTTCTTGTCATCATCAGAAAATTCAAAACTAGCTGGGCGAGGTGGCTCATGCCTGTAATCCCAGCACTTTGGGAGGTTGAAGCAGGCAGATCACTTGAGGTCAGGAGTTCGAGACCAGCCTGACCAACATGGAGACACCCGTCTCTACTAAAAATACAAAATTAGCCATGTGTGGTAGTGCATGCCTGTAATCCCAGCCGTTTGGGAGGCTGAGGCAGGAGAATCGCTTGAACGTGAGAGGCAGAGGTTGCGGTGAGCCGAGATCTCAGCATTGCACTCCAGCCTGGGCAATAAGAGTTGAAGCTCCATTTCAAAAAAAAAAAAATTTCAAACTGTGGCTCCTCAGGGCTCAGTACCATGTTACAGAGGATTGGAAATTAGCTGAATGTCTGGACCGCTGTTCCGTAACAACCTGCTGACTATCCTTCTTTCTATTTTCTTTTCCTTTTCCTTTTCATTTTCCTGTTGCAAGAAGGAATAGAAACAAAGTTCTCTGTGTTCTCCCCTTCCTCATTAAGGTACTGATTAATACATGTTGTTGAGGAGAAGGATGGAAGATGGAGAGGGATTTCTGAACTCCTGTCTGACTGTTCTAAAAATGATCTGTTCTAAGGAACCACTGGTCTGCCTTAATGTATTAAACCCTAAGCAAGCAGAGAAATTCTGAATCTGATTTTACTAAGGAATCCTTACAAGCCTTTCCTGAATTGTTAACTTCAGGAAACTATGGGCTACAAGAGGGTGTGTGCATGTGTATGCGTAAGAGGTTTCATTGTGAAGATGTGTGCTTATGAGGGAGTACTGCGGGGAAGATGAGAAGAGGGAGCAGTAAGAAGGGAGGGACTCAGTCTTAGATGCACTGGCATCAAAGATGAAAGACTGCATCTAGGGGTTTATGTTCTCATAAAGAAGTGTCTTTCTTTATGACATGGTACTTGTTTTGGTTTCTTTATCCCAAGACAGTACAGCTATTGAGCTCAGCAACCTTTTTTTTTTTTTTTTTTTAATGTGACTGGTTACTGGCAATCAGCAACGTTTCTTTGAAGAAAATGCAGGTGGGAACTCAACCCTTTCTAGTTCTCTCAGCAATTGAATATTTAAACCAACTCTCTTGTTTTCCTCTAGGTGGAAAGAGTCCCTTACAGGTTTTTAAAGAGTTCTCTTTTGCTTAAGAGAGAGAGAGAGGAATGAATTAGGGTGAGGGCTTCTTGTTTTGTGCTCTGCCTCAGTTTTCTTTTGTTAACTTCAGGATTAAGAATAAATGAGATGGCATTAGATGAATAAATGAGATGACATAAAACTTAGTGCATTTATTGTCCGATTAGTTAAGGCCCTTAATATATGTCTGCTCCCTTGTTAACTTACACCTTGGGCCTTGTTAAACCTTACAATTTTGCAGGAAAAACAAAACAAAATATAAATACATCTAAAGAAATGGAGAATTGGTCTGTAAAACAAAATTTTAATTCAACAAATATTCTATGAATGTTTTAGGGATGATTACAGTATTTTCCAACCGTCTGGGCTGGCACAACATGGAACTACTACTTTCCCAATTTCAGAAGCGTCTTACATTTGGCATCCAGAGGGAGCTGTGTGACCTGATTCGGGTATCCTTACTGAATGCTCAGAGAGCCAGGGTTCTCTATGCTTCTGGCTTTCTTACTGTGGCAGACCTTGCTAGAGCAAATATTGCAGAGGTGGAGGTGATTCTGAAAAATGCTGTGCCTTTCAAAAGGTAAGAAAATACCTTTACCTACATGGGATTATTAAATTTAAAAAAAAATGTCAATTTTAAAATAATAATGTATTACAGTATTTTTCTCTTAAATAATCTTATGATATACTTGGTGTAAGTGGAAGGAAATATGGCTACTTTTTTCCCCTTGAGGATTACTTTTTATTTTGTATATTTAAAAAATAATACATGACTTAAAAACATTCCTACTAGAACGGCTGAGTGGCGCTGGGCACGATGGATCACACCTGTGATCCCAGTACTTTGGGAGGCTGAGGCTGATTGCTTGAGCATAGGAGTTCAAGACTAGCCTGGGCAACAGAGCAAGATCTCATTACTACTAAAATTAAAAAAAAAAAAAAAAAAAAAATAGCTGGGCGTGGTGGCATGTGCTTGTAGTCCCAGCTACTTGGGAGTGTAAGGCGGGAGGGTTGCTTGAGCCTGGGAGATCAAGGCTGCAGTGAACCCTGATAGTGCCACTGTACTCCAGGCTGGGTGACAGAGTAAGATTGTGTCTCAAAAAAAAAAAAAAAATTTACTGAGCAAAAGTTTGGTATCAATGCCTTCTGCTTTGATGGATTTTGATAATTTTAATATGATTTCATTATACATCTGGGGCTCATCTTACACTTTCTTTAGGCAAGAACATTTTAGAATACATTCCTCTGAAATGTTCTTTGGAATGTTAGTTCCTCAAAACAATTTGTGAGAAGATTCCTTCATTTTATTTTTTTGTCTGTGTTTATGTCTGAATAACCATTTACTGAATGGGCTAGACTCAGTATATAAATCAAGGAGTAGCTTAATTATTTTTTCTACCACTGTTTTTTTTGAACTTGCTCCTATATGAAATCTCAGGCAGATCCTATTTCATTACTTTCAGGTACTAACAACCAGTTTTATTTTCAGGTATTAAACAGTTTGTTCTAGATAGAAGCATCAATTTCATTTCCAGTTCAGTGTTTCTTCCCTCACACACATTTTAAACCTGACTCCCGGCTCTGAGACCTTAACCTGTGTGGGAAGGGATGGGATATCTCTTCCCCATGGAAGATAATTTTTCCACAGACCAGGGGGTGGTGGAGGTGTGGTGTGGAGGTGGGGGTAGTGGGGTGGTAGAGATGGTTTGGTTTTAGGATGAAACAATTAGATTCTTATAAGGAGTATACAACCTAGAGTCCTTGCAATGTGCAGTTCACTATAAGGTTTGCTGCCACTGATCTGACAGGAGGCAGAGCTCAGGCAGCGATGCCCACTTTCCTGCAGCTCACCTCCTGCTATGCGGCCCAGTTCCTAACAGGCCGGGGACTGGTACTGGTCTACATCTAGAGGGTTGAAGACCCTTGGTTTAGATTTTTAACTGGCCACTTGGAATCTGTCCACATTTGCACGGTTTAGAGGTCAGCCAGAGATTTGGGCAAAGTTTATCTGAAGAATTTGGAGTTGTTGTTCTCTAGTTATCTGTTCTTGACTGTCTTCAATTTCTAAGTAATATAGTTACTTTTAGCTCTCTTCTGACTTCTGTCAGTCAGTGGACTCCAGGTTTTATCTGAGTTTTTAGCCAACCTACGGGGTGCCGACTGGGCCCTGCCTTCAGGTAAAAAGTGAAAATTCACCCACTGCCATTTCTTTCTTCCAAGTCTCAATCCCCCTCCAGTTTCTGCTTTCTTTTTTCATTTTCTAGTCCCTTCAAATATTTTGTCCAGAGTTTATATTGTGTAAAAGGATTTGCTTTCTTTCTTTATTTCTTTCTTTTTTTTTTTTGAGACAGAGTCTTGCTCTGTCTCCCAGGCTAGAGTGCAGTGGTGTGATCTTGGCTCACTGCAACCTCTGCCTCCTGGGTTCAAGCAATTCTCCTGTCTCAGCCTCCCAAGTAGCTGGGACTACAGACGCATGCCACCACATCTGCCTAATTTTTATATTTTTAGCAGAGACAGGATTTTACCATATTGGTCAGGCTGGTCTCGAACTCCTGACCTCAGGTGATCCACTCACCTTGGCCTCCCAAAGTGCTGGGATTATAGGTGTGAGCCCCCATGCCCAGGCTTTTTTTTTTTTTTTTTTTTTTTTTAATGAGACAGGGTACTGCTCTGTCGCCCAGGCTGGAGTGTAATGGCATGATCTTGTCTCACCATAATGTCTTCGAGGTTTGAGTGATTCTCATGCCTCAGCCTCCCAAGCAGCTGGGATTACAGGTGCCTGCTACCACGCCCAGCTGCTTTTTTTGTATTTTTAGTAGAGACAGGGTTTCACCATGTTGGCCAGGCTGGTCTCGAACTCCTGGCCTCAAGTGATTCACCTTCCTCAGCCTCCCAGAGTGCTGGGATTATAGGCATGAGCTACAGCACCTGGCTGGATGTTTTTCAATGAATGTTTTATGGCCCTCACTTTTTTAAAGGCTTCTACTTAAAGAATCTGTCTTAGCGAAGCCTTCCTTGATTATGCCATTTAAAAACTACAGAACTACCCACTCCTTTCTTGTGCCTCATTTTTGTATACAACCCTTATCACCAGTTAATATAGAATGCACTTTAAACTGTTGTTTATTTTCTGAATTCCCCAGCTGGAATGTAAGTGCCATAAGAGCAGATACATCTCTCTCTCTCTTTTTCATTGTTATTTTTCAGTTCCTAGAACAGCTCAGATTGAATGTTTAATAAATATTTGCTGTACGAATGAATGAATTCCTTCTGTCTTTTCCCATCTCCTTGTGTAGTGCCCGGAAGGCAGTGGATGAGGAAGAGGAAGCAGTTGAAGAACGTCGGAATATGCGAACTATCTGGGTGACTGGCAGAAAAGGTTTAACTGAACGGGAAGCAGCAGCCCTTATAGTGGAAGAAGCCAGAATGATTCTGCAGCAGGACCTAGTTGAAATGGGAGTGCAATGGAATCCATATGCATATTCTAGTACATGTTCATTGACTCATAGTGAGTCAGAAGTAAAGGAACACACATTTATATCCCAAACTAAGAGTTCTTATAAAAAATTAACATCAAAGAACAAAAGTAACACAATATTTATTGATTCTTATATTAAGCATTCACCAAATATAGTTCAAGACTTAAATAAAAGTAGAGAGCATACAAGTTTCTTTAATTGTAATTTCCAGAATAGGAATCAAGAACATCAGAGACATTCCATTTTCAGAGCAAGAAAACAGACTTCTTTGGATATAAATAAAGAGAAGCCAGGAGCCTCTCAGAATGAGGGGGAAACAAGCATTAAAAAAGTTGTCCAGACTTTTTCAGAGAAAACAAAAAAGGCACCTTTGAATTTCAGTTCAGAAAAGATGAGTAGAAAATTTCTATCTTGGAAACACAGAAAGCGTCTAAAGCAATCCAGGCACAGCAGCCCCCTGAAAGTCTCTGGAGCATGTAGAATCAATTTACAAGGACAGACTCTGTCTAATTCTATGCTTTGTGAAGACTCGTTTAGCTTAGATGAGAAGAATACAGAATGTAGAAGTTCAGGGCCATTTGCTAAAAACATATATTTGAGTGGTGTGGGAAAAGATGACAAAACATCATTCGCGTTACAAATAAAGCAAAGCTGTTCACTAACTAATGATAATTTTGTGGAACATTTCGTCTCAGGATCTCAGAGTAAAAATGGGACCTGTCAGGCCACTAGTGTGGTTAGTGAAAAAGGCAGAGGCGAAGCTGTTGAGGTGGAAAAAATAAATGAAGTGCTGATACAAAATGATTCAAAAAACCAGAATGTTTATGTGAAACACCATGACACCCATCCTATTAACCGGTACCCTCCAAAGCAATCTAATGAACAGACAAGCACTTTTACCAAACAGAAAAATATAATAGAGAAACAAATGCCCTTTGAGGCAGTCAGGAGTTATATAAATGGAGACTTAAATGTTACTACTGTCAATTGTGAAAGGATAAAGCTTAATACAGAGGAAAATAATCCAAGTCATTTTCAGGCATTAGGAGGTGATATAAGCAGAACCGAGATACCCAGTGGAGTATTTCTATCAGCTGGAGCACTTAGCAAATCAGGAGGCCAGCATGAGAATTTTCTAAATATTTCTAGACTACAAGAAAAAACAGGTGATTATACAACAAACAAAACTAAAAATAATGCTGCGGACTCAGGTTTAGTCCTCTGTGATTTTGAAGATAGTTTCTACCTGGATTCTCAGTCAGAGAAAATAATACAACAGATGGCAACTGAAAGTGCCAAACTAGGAGCAGAGGACACCAGCCTGGCAGCAGGGATAATGCAGAAGAGCTTAGTCAAACAGAACTCGATGAACTCTTTTCAGAATAAGTGTCACATTACTTTTCCTGCTGAACAGCATCCTCTAGGAGTGAAAAAGATAGATCATTTGGACCTTAAGACTGTGGGTCCTATGAAACAAAGCACTGATTCACATGGGGTTGAGATCCTGACTCCAGAAAGCCCAATTTTTCATTCTCCGATACTATTGGAGGAAAATGGTCTTTGTTTTAAAAAGAATGAACTTTCTGTTACTGATTCCCAATTAAATAGTTTTCTTCAAGTTTATCAAACACAAGAAACTGTGAAACCAGTTACACCTCTGGTTCCCCAAAAGAGAACTCCCACTGGTATAGAAGGAGAATGTCTTCCAGTTCCTGAAACAAGTTTGAATATGAGTGATAGTTTACTATTTGACAGTTTCAGTGATGACTATCTAGTAAAAGAACAACTACCTGATGTGCAAACAAAAAAAACCCTTCCTTCAGAAGTAACATCAAACCATTTTAGTGATTCTCTGTGTCTACAACAAGAAGACCTAATTAAAAAATCAAATGTAAATGACAATCAAGACATCCACCAGCAGTTGACTTTTTCCAATGATGAATCTATTATATTTTCAGAAATGGATTCTGTTCATATGGTTGAAGCTTTGGACAGTGCGGATATATTTCCTGTACAAGAGAAACATCGTACTGTAGTATCTCCTAGAGCATTAGAACTGAGTGATCCAGTACTTGATGAGCACCACCAAGGTGATCAAGATGGAGGAGATCAAGATGAAAGGGCTGAAAAATCAAAATTAACCGGGACCAGGCAAAGTAATTCATTCATGTGGTCAGGGGCATCATTTGATCTAAGTCCAGGACTGCAAATGATTTTAGATAAAGTGTCCAGTCCTCTAGAAAATGAAAAGCTAAAAATGACTATAAACTTGTCTAGTTTGAATGGAAAAAATACGGAGTTAAATGAAGAACAAGAAGTTATTTCAAACTTGGAGACAAATCAAGTGCAGGAAATTTTATTTTCTTCTAATAATGAAGTAAAAAATAAGATTGAGGTGCCAGAAAACAATGCCAATCATGGTGAAACCTCATCCCTCTTACCTCATAAAGAACGCTGTATAGTTGATGATAATGGTCTCATTCCTCCTACACCTATTCCAACATCTGCTTCTAAGCTGACATTTCCGGGGATTCTTGAAACACCTGTAAACCTTCGGAAAATTAATAATGTTTTACAACCTGGTGAAAGTTATTTACTTGGCTCACCTTCAGATATTAAAAACCACGATTTAAGTCCAGAGAGAAATGGGTTCAAAGACAACAGCCCTACTAGTGATACAAGCTTTTCACTTCAGTTATCACAGGATGGATTACAGTTAACTCCAGCCTCAAGCAGTTCAGAAAGTTTGGCCATAATTGATGTAGCAAGTGACCGAAATCTTTTTCAAACATTCATTAAAGAGTGGCGATGCAAAAAGCAATTTTCCATCTCACTGGCTTGTGAAAAGATTAGAAGTTTAACATCTTCTAAAACTGCTACTATTGGTGGTAGGTTTAAGCAAGGTAAGATTTTATTTTTATTTTTTTCACATTTATGAACTAGTCAGTAGACTGAGATAAGATTTAGATTTCTCAGTGTTAGATATTAGATATAATCTATTCAAATTGTAGTATGTATTTCCTCTGTGGATTTATGTGTAGAACAGCCTTATTTATTCAGCACGCCTAAATTAATAATGGTAGTTGCCCTCCTGTATAAGAAGTACATGTAATATATAGTAGAATAAAAGTTTACAAAATAAAGACAATATTTATTTTGAATATGAATGTGACATTTCTTTTATGGTATATTAGTGTTGTAACATAATGGTTTTTATTAATCATCAGTGCTCATGAATTATTTTCTTTTTCTTTCTTTCTTTTTTTTTTTTTTCTTTTTGAGATGGAGTCTTGCTGCATTGCCCATGCTGGAGTACAGTGGCATGATCTCGATCTTGGCTTACTGCAACCTCTGTCTTCCGGGTTCAAGGGATTCTCCTGCCTCAGCCTCCCAAGTAGCTGGAAGTACAGGCATGTGCACCATGTCCAGCTAATTTTTGTATTTTTAGTACAGATTGGGTTTCATCATGTTGGCCGGGGTGGTCTCAAACTCCTGACCTCAAGTGATCTGCCCATGCTGGCCTCTCAGAGTGCTGGGATTACAGGTGTGAGCCACTGCGCCTGGCCTCATGAATTATTTTCTATTGAATTATAATATTCTTGTTTGCTTATGTAATTACAAAAGTACATTGCTAATAGGAACTATGTTCTTCACAGTGTACATTAGCTACATTTTCCAAGACTTATCTCAAGTAGAACTTAGACCTCCATTGATAGTCATGAATTGTATACTGAAATGTTGCTTCCAAAACCTTGCAGAGCTCTTCCAGGTGTTGAGAGAGTTGAACCTTTTGGTCAAGTAAGGCTATGTATCGTCCTGTTTTATTGCATGAACTCTGCATTCTGGATCATGGTGACTACTTATAGTCAGCTTGAAAACCTGCTGTGGAAATCAGATGTTTGATTAGATTTATTAAACTTCAGTATTTTATGAGTTAATTTGTTCATAAAGGTTTGAGTATTTGTCTGATCTTCAATTCATGGGGCAGATGGTTTAGCCACAACTTTTATGTACTTTTAGTGTTGAATAACACTTTCCATTTTTCATGCAACAAACAATGGAGCACATTTTCTGCATCAGGCTATATAATAGAGGCTAGAGAGATTTAAAAAGTTTACCTAAGGCCAGGTGCAGTGGCTCATGCCTATAATCCCAGCACTTTGGGAGCCCAAAGCGGGCGGATCACCTGAAGTCGGGAGTTCAAGACCAGCCTGACCAACATGGAGAAACCCTGTCTCTACTAAAAAAAATAAAATTAGCCAGGCTTGGTGGTGCATGCCTGTAATCCCAGCTACTCAGGAGGCTGAGGCAGGAGAATCACTTGAACCCAGGAGGCAGAGGCCAGGTGTGGTGGTGCAAGCTTGAAATCCCAGCCACTTGGGAGGCTGAGGCAGGAGGATCGCTTGAACCCAGGAGGCAGAGGCTGTGGTGAGCCAAGATCGCGGCATTGCACTCCAGCCTGGACAACAAGAGCAAAACTGTGTCTCCAAAAAAACAAAAAAAGTTCACCTGAATTTAATACACATGTACTAGGTTCCTATGTGCCAGTTTTTTCCTGATACTAGGGATATAATTATCAATAAGACAGACTGATTCTTGACCTTTATAAAATTGGAGATACATTATTTTAGAAAAAAATGTTGACTCTAGATACAAAATTATACTTCTTCACTAAGGAATAACATTATTTTTCTGGAATTTCTTAGTTAAGAATTGCTGAATTTGCTGCAAAGTTTTTATAGTATAAAAATGATCTTTATTTTTGCTTGATTTCTAAAATTTGAAATGCAGCCTTTCTTTTTTTAAGTTAATACCCATTTAGTCATCATTATAGATTTATTTTAACAAATCTTTGGTAGCTTTTTCATAGTGACAGTTATCTTAATTGATGAGACGCCTGGAGAGATTTTACATACACTTAAAATGACTGTCCAAATAATGCATATTTTAAGATCTGGAAATTTTGCCTATCAAAGATAGTTTTTTTATTATAAGTGTTTTAACAATTTATATAATACCTTTATTTTTAGAGATTTTTAACTATTTCACTTTCATTTTATTTAGCTAGCTCACCTCAGGAAACTCCTATTAGAGATTATGGATTTCCTGTTAAAGGCTGTGATGACATCTTGGTGGTTGGACTAGCAGTATGCTGGGGTGGAAGGGATGCCTATTATTTTTCATTGCAGAAGGAACAAAAGCATTCTGGTAAGTAATGAGTATTTGACTAAGTCACTATATAATTAATGTAACGTTTATTAGGGTCGTGATCTTGGTTTTTGTCTTGTTTTTTTGAGAATAGTTTCCTGATATTTACCTAGGATTAACTTTTAGAATTTAAAAAAATTGTGTTTTTTTGGTTTTGGTTTTTGTTTTTGAGACAGAGTTTTGCTCTTGTTGCCCAGGCTGGAGTGCAATGGCACAATCTTGGCTCACTGCAACCTCCACCTCCTGGTTTCAAGCGATTCTCCTGCCTCAACCTCCCAAGTAGCTGGAATTACAAACATGTACCACCACTCCTGGGTAATTTTGTATTTTTTTTAGTAGAGACAGGGTTTTACTGTGTTGGTCACACTGAACTCCTGACCTCAGGTGATCTGCCTGCCTTGGCCTTCCAGAGTGCTGGGATTACAGGTGTGAGCCACTGTGCCTAGCAAAAATTGTAATTTTTTGGAGAGCAGCTAGCATGTACATTATTGCATATATTAACTGGAATTAATGTTTTAAGAAGCACTTCCTTACTTCTCCCTGCCTGTCACACGAGGCTATAAATGCTATGGGCTTTTCCTCTGACGGGGCAGTGAGGCCTCAGGGAACGTCTTGCCACCTTCAGGGTTTGCTTTTGAAGACTAAACTATGGCAATTTCTTTTCAGTCTTTTGTCCTCCCACTGAATGGGTCTGAAACTCATCTAGAGGGAATGTTGAGCCAGAGATCTATAGTAGTTGAATCATATACACTTTGGAGAAGTCTTTGGAATCGAAAGGATGTAATCTGGAAATACCCTGTGATCTGACTGTGAGCTGATAGGTTGGTTTTGGACAGGAGCAAAATTAATAAGGAGACATTTTAAAGGATGCTGTATAGTGTCTGTTCCTTAGTAACCATGAAATGTTTTCAGTTGTTTTGCAGGAAGATATGTTGGGGTAAGTAGTTACTTAAACTTTTTTTATTTTTGATAGAATAGTATATGTTCATACTGAATCTGTCTTTAAAATTTATTTCCAAATACTTTTCCTGTCTTTAACTCCTCATTCTAGAAAATATAATTTTGTTTTTAGAAGTATTAATGTTTTGTACTTTCTCCCACCTAATTAAGTAGAGGACTAAAAATCTTTTAGCCCAAACCATAATTTTTAGATTATGAAGCACTTCATCTACATAGCTGATATGACCTGGATAAGATGCTGAATTACATGGAACCAGACCCTTAGGCTTCTGAGTCTTTTTCAGTCTTTCTACTAAAGATTGCTGCTTCAAATGAATTGATGTAATTTTTGACTTTTTTTGTTGTTGTTTGTTTAAAGAAATTAGTGCCAGTTTGGTTCCACCTTCTCTTGATCCAAGCCTGACTTTGAAAGACAGGATTTGGCACCTTCAATCTTGCTTGCAGAAGGAATCTGATGAGGAACGTACCGTTGCCATCTATGACTTCATCCAGAGCTATAAAATTCTTCTTCTTTCTTGTGGCATCTCCTTGGAGCAAAGTTATGAAGATCCAAAGGTTCTATGTCTTATTTAATTTTTATATACTTAACATTTTTAGTGTTAATTCTTAAGTGAATTGGTATTTACTTGGCTTCAATGATGCAGCTTAAGTCTTTAGAGTAGTCATTTATTCATTCAGTAACCTCATCTACCCAGAATAAAATTTCATGCACCAAATACCTCTGTGTAGATAAACACAGAGATGTCACAAATTCTGAGCCCTAAAGTTTATGTCTTTCCTCAGAGATTTTTAATTTGGGTCATAAGTTCTAAGTTTTCTAATAGTAAATTGGAAGTGATGTGAGAACAGTTAGCTTTAGGTCTGTGATAGCAGGATGTTTTAAATCTTCATGAGGGTGCAGGCAGAAAATTGGAAAAGTGTGTGAACAAAATGTCAAAAAGGATTGTAGTTGGTGGCCATTTAGCATAGAGGCAAATCTCCTTACTGGCTCCTGAGAACTTTCCTTTATAATAGCAAAGTATGACGAACTCTTCATAATGATGACTCAGTTAAGAAACATGTTAACTTTTACATCAGACTATTTCATTTAATATTCCCCTATAAAACTTTATTCTTAACCTACAAAAGAAGTAACTGAGACACATAGTAAAGTAATTATCAGAATTATGAACAGGGCTTAGATTCTCTTATTCTAATCCAGTTAATGATCTGCTTAATCTAGTATTAGAAACTACAGGTCTCCTAGTCTCATGGGGAAGCTGAAAATAGCAATCAAATGAATAATTGGATGGTCCTGGTGACAGACCCCCATCCTGAGGGGAAAGTCTAGAGGCTTTCTGAAACTCTGTGTATAAACTTTTAACGGTAAAACACTTATTATGCCTCACTTCTTTTGATGTTGAAAGAACTAAATATACCTAAAACCTCATAGGCCCATCTTTATTATGGTAGCTTAACCCAAATTAGCCTTAGTGGAGGAGTTCATCTAGATTTTCAGACACATGGTTTGAATTTGCTGAGACGTACTTGTTTTTCAGGCCTACTGCTGAACTGGATCGGTCAACCATTGTAGTAATGGAATAGTTACAGCTTTTGTTTCTTTGAAAGCTACTGCTGTTATTGCTACCAAAAATGAGTCCTTTTATAATTATTCTTTTCCTTTCTCGGGAAGACCGCTGAATAAATATTAAATGAAAATGAGTGAGCTTAGAAATGAGCTTTCTTTTTTTCCCTTGTAATTTAAAGGTACAAAAGTGTCTTTGAAAAAAATCAGGAAAATATTCTCATTGCTCTTATTCAGGTGGCATGCTGGTTACTAGATCCAGATTCTCAGGAGCCGACTCTTCATAGCATAGTTACCAATTTTCTTCCTCATGAGCTTCCACTCCTAGAAGGGATGGATGCCAGCCAAGGGATTCAAAGCCTGGGGCTGAATGCTGGCAGTGATCATTCTGGGCGATACAGAGCATCTGTGGAGTCCATTCTCGTCTTTAACTCTATGAATCAACTCAATTCTTTGTTGCAGAAGGAAAACCTTCAAGGTAAAAACCAAGTTTCTGGCATTTTTATGTTATAGCCTAGAGACAAGATATTTACCATTCTTTATCAAAAATGAGTGAATTACACATTTATGCAAATCCTACCTTTGGGTTGTCTAGTGCTTTTTTCTGTAAAAGGCCAGAGAGTAAATATTTTTGGCTTTGTGAACCAATGATCCCATCACAGATACTCAACTCTGCCATTGGTGCACAAAAGCAGCTATAGACAATACCAAAACAAATGGCTGTCTTCTAATAACGCTTGACAAAACCATGCATCTAATGTTAGTTTGGCCATAGTTTGCTGACTTCTCGCCCTCTTGTGAAGAAGAGAATTACAAAATGGCATTTATTCAGTTGTTGCTATTTTTGTATTTGAACTTTATCAAATGATTTTTATTTACACTTAGAACACATCCTTAATGGATTTCAAAAAGTTAACTCTTTTCTTTTTGGAACTATTAACAGATTTTTTTTTCACAACAAAGGATAATCGTAAGAGTCTGTTTTTTCCCTCATAACAATTAACATGAATTTATTGTGGGGTCTGCTGGCCCAGATTGAGCACCCTGACTCCAGAAAACTTAATGGATGCTTATGGTAAAGATGTGAAGCAGAACGAATTGGCTTCATTGTGAGGAGATGACTGAATTTATTGACTGATCAATAAGTACTAGCAAATAGATGGATGAGTTTATATAGACTAGGGTTTTGGATCTGGACTGTACACTTATGACCTGAGGGACTTTGGACAAACTACTGAAACTGTAAGTCTGGTTCTTATAAAATTGTTCTAAGGATGAAATAAGATAGTAAATATGGGCAGTATTTGTCACAGAGCAGGTGCTTTTATGTTAGTTCATTATTGTAATTTTTAACTTTCACCACTTCAATGTGCTTTTGAAAGCTTCTTTTTTTCTGCAAACTTTCAAAAATGTATGGCTGGCCTGGCTCAGTGGCTCCTGCCTGTAGTCCCAGCTGCTCAGGAGGGAGGATCACTTGAGCCCAGAAGTTTGAGACCAACCTGGACAACACAGTGAGACCCCCATCTTAAAAACAAGGGTGGTTAGGAGGTATTACATGCTTTTTTATACAGTGTTAATGCTTTCTTAGTCACAGAATTCAAGAATTGAAGTGCAATGAGAGAAAAGTTTTTGGAGAGAATGTAGACGGCTATAAGATTTAGTTTGAATATAATTATTTCTTTGTGGAAAGAGATCCAGATATATTTTATTTTTTAAATTTTTCTGTTAGCCGGGAGGTATTCTCATCTGATGTAGAAAAACACTTTAACTGCAACTTTTGATTTCTTTAATAACTGTAAGATTATTCATTCAGTTATTTCTTTTTGAGTATATTTGGTAAGCTATATATATATATTTTTTCCACATCTTTTAAAAAATTTGTATTACTCCACTGTGACATTCCCAACATACGTATTTTTAAAGAATTTATGTTTCATTTAAATTTTCAAATATATTGGTATACAGCTATTGCTAAGTCTCTCTTTTTTACGTCTCTGGTTTATTATATCCTCTTTTTCTTTCCTAGTAGTATTTATTATTTAATGTCACTTGAAGTTTTCCCGATTTTCTAGTCTTTTCAAAGAACCAACCTTTGCCTTTGATTCTTCCTATTACTTTTGTTTTCTGTTTCCTTGATTTCTGTTCACATCTATATTATCTATTTTCTTCTGGTTCCCCTGACTTTATTTTGTAGTCCTTTTTCAAAATTAATAACTTTGACCTTAAAACCATTACTTCTGAAATTATTTTTTTCTTTTCTAACTTAAGAACATAAGGCAGCTGGCTGTGGTGGGTGCTCACGCCTGTAATCCCAGCACTCTGGGAGACCGAGGCAGGTGAATCACTTGAGGCCAGGAGTTTGAGACCAGCCTTGCCAACATGGTGAAACCCCATCTCTACTAAAAATACAAAAATTAGCTGTGAGTGGTATTGTGCATCTGTAATCCCAGATACTCAAGAGGCTGAGGCACAGGAATCACTTGAATCCCAGAGGCGGAAGTGGCAGTGAGCAGAGATCCTATCACTGCACTGCACTGCACTGCACTCCAGCCTGGGCACTAGAGCGAGGATGTGTCACACACACACACAAATAACATAAGGCTATAAATTTCCCTCGAAGCACTACTTGTATTGCACAGTTTCCATGTGTACACACACACATACACACACACACACACACACACACACACACACACATTTGTTTTGTAGAGGTGGGGATCTTGCTGGGATTACAGATGTGAGCCACTATTCCTGGCCTAATATATAATATTCTTATCATGCTAGATATTTTTAAATTTCTGGTATATTTTCTCACAAATTATTTAGAAGAATGTCTTTTAATTCCCAAATATTTAGAAACTTTTTTGTATTTAGACAATCTTTAAACTTAATTGTGTTGTAGTTAGAGTACATGGTTATATAATACTCATTCTTGAAATTTTTAAAGAATGATTCATGATCTAAAACTGGAACTATTGTGTAAATTATTTGCACTCGAGAATGTGTATTCTAATTCCGGATGCAGAATTTTATATGTCTGTTAAGTCAAAGTTGTTTTTAAAATATTCTGTAATTTTCCCTGTAATTCAATCAGTTTTAGCTTTGTATATTTTGAGGCCATTTTATTAGGTGTATAGGTGTTTAAAATTGATTTACTTTCCTTGTGAATTAAACCTCCTATTAGTGTATTATGACCATCTGTATTACAAATAATGATTTTTATTCTTAGTTCTTAGTCTGTTTTTTAATATGAATATGGCAACATCAGCTCTCTTTTGATTAATATTTGCTTCATATAACCTTTCTTTTTTTTAAATTCCTTTTAACCTTTCTAGGTTCCCATCTTCAGACATGTCTTATAAACAAAGTATAATTTTTTTTACTTTTTTTTTTTTTTTTTTTTTTTTTTTTTTTTTTTACAAATTTACCAATTTATTGTGATTGTTGATGTATTTCTGCTCATTATGATTATTGATATACTTGTACTCTATTTTCCTACTGTTTTAGTTTGTTTCTAGTCACTTTTTGTTTTGTCAGTAGTTTGTTCACAGTTGTGCTCTATTCTAACTAATCCTTATCTGCTATTTTGGGGATCTAAATTTGTTCTTGGTTGTTTCTTCTGAGTCCTGTTCACATTTCTTTGCTCTCTTGTATTTTTCATATTTTTTGTGAGTTCATACACTATTTATTATAATCAAGGATCCCTGCAGAACTTACTTGTGGGAAGCCATCCTTTAGAAAGGTTTTGCTCCTGCTTTTGCTGAGTACCAGACTACTCCGCATCCAAGGACCACAGTAGCCGTTCTTTGAGAGTTTTGTTTCAGAACAAGAGTGAGGACTGAGGCTCAGCTCCTCATCCTGTTGTTGTTTCAAGGATCTATATCCCCTTAAACTTTTTTGCTAGGGGACTCCATTCCCGAAACGACCTTGCTCCTTCCTAATGCCTATGGATCCAGGCTAGCTCCCTGCCACTCTTACTTTGTGCTTCTCTGATTGTTCCTGCTATGACCCAAGGTCATTATTTCTCTAGTCTCAAATAACATGAATTTCTCCACTGGTTCCAGGCTCCTAAAGCCAAGCTCTGACTGCCCCGTACCTTCTGCAGGTGGTTAGAGGCCATTAACTTCTCATTTGTTTCTTTGCTTTTGGTGGTGGTTATGGGTTTCCCTGGAGATTTCTTATGCTGATTGAGACCAGCAGTGCCTCAAAGAATGTGTTTGGAGCTGGGGAGGGTGGACCAGGGTTGCTTAAATTCCTAGTGACTCAGTACTGGAAGCTGAAGTCTTAGGGATTCTTTCTTAATGATTTAGGATAGCATTATCCATAGTACATTCCATGGATGCTTACTTTTCAAGATGTTAATAAGTATTATATGAAAAAAGGGTTTAATGGTCAAATAAAATTGGGGACTTTCACTTAAAATTAAATAGTTGTCTTTGCTTCAGGTCCTCTCAGGGCCTTTAATATGTAAGTTGAGTCTGCCTTATCCAAAATGCGGGACCAGAAGTGTTTTACATTTCAGATTTTTTTGGATTTTGAAATATTTGCATATATATAATGAGACATTTTATGGATGAGACCCAAGTCTAAATGTAGAATTCATAGATACCCATATACTTAGCCTAAAGATAATTTTATACAATGTATTTAATAATTTTATGCATGAAATAAAATTTGTGTATACTGAGCCATCAGAAAGCAAAGGTGTCACTGTCTCAGCCACCCATTTAGACAGTCTGGTGGCAGAAAAGATATATTGAAGCTGAATGGGGCAAGGAGGGGCTTTTTTCCTTTAGAGATGTTGAATAAGCTTTGTGTTATACACCTGCATTTTGACTGTGCCCTGTCACGAAAAGTCAGGTATGGAATGTCCCACTTGTGGTGTCATGTCAGTGCTCAGAAAGTTTCAGATTTTAGAGCATTTTGGATTTCAAAATAAGGTTGGTTGCTATGCTCCTGCTAAGAGTAGAAGCCGAAACGTCTTGGGAGAAATAAATAGTCTCTTGTAATCCAGACTATTCACAAGATTGCTGACTCTTCTACTCTCTGCAGAGACAAGGATAGTTGTCCAGTGCTAAACTAGCCTATAATTTTCCACCTTTCATTGTTGGCTTGAGAGTGCTGCTCAGGAGACTGGATCCTGAAGGATAGCTTGGTAGCATTTCTGGATTTTCCCAGATGAATTCTGTGTGGTTTAGGTAAGGCTGCTGATCAGTCACTTAGCCAATGATAACGTTTTAGTTTTCTTTTTTTCTTCCAGATGTTTTCTGCAAAGTGGAAATGCCCTCTCAGTACTGCTTGGCCTTGCTAGAACTAAATGGAATCGGCTTCAGTACTGCAGAATGTGAAAGTCAGAAACACATACTGCAAGCCAAGCTGGATGCAATTGAGACCCAGGCCTATCAACTAGCTGGCCACAGTTTTTCTTTCACCAGTTCGGATGACATCGCTGAGGTTGTATCATGGGGATAGGAATATAGATAAATAATTTTTAGAGTTAACATGATTGTGTGTGTGTGTGTGTGTGTGTGTGTGTGTGTGTGTGTGTGTGTGTGTGTATTTACCTGAACACCTAAGGTCAGTAAAATGAAACAGCCAGTTAACCAGATTGCTTTGGGAACATTCTAACATCATCTAATTTGTAAATTATATCTGTATTTAATTTACAAATAAAGGAAGGTAGTAAAGAGGACTTCTAGAATGTAAACTCCTCAAGAAGGAGATTTGCCTGGAACAGAGGAGGCACTCACTAAATATTTGTTGAAGAAATGATTGGTAGTGGTGGTTGCATGACAGCATAGCTGTTTCTCCATGAAGTTAGTCATTTTGTGAGCCCTCACTCCTCCTTGCTTGCTCTAACATTTCTATAGAATAGGAAATCGGATATTTTTCAGAGATGTAAATGAAAAAGGGATTTTTCTGACTGTTTCCTTTTTTAAACTTAATTAAGGTTTTTGCTTCCTTACATAAATGTTGACAAATTTTACCTTTGTTTTATTTTCATATATTGGTATTCCGTTCTCTCCTCTCAACCACACTACGTCCCTAACAAAGGGTGATTGCGTTGTTTTAGAGGGGTTACGTTTGATAGCATTGAAGTTCTTGTGTCTTCTAGTTGTGATTCTCTAATATAGCATATTGGTAAAAGTCATAGACTTTGGAGCCAGACTTCTTGGGTTTGAATCTTACCTCCTCCATTTATTAACTAGTTCCAGAGCCTTGGGCCAATGTATAAACTCTTTATGGGTCAATTTTCAGTAAAGGGGGGTTGTCATAAAAATTCCTCATAGGGTTGTAGTGAGGTATAAATAATAAGTGACCATTCTGTAGTAAGTGGTCAGTAAATGTTAAATATCCTTATAAAAGTGTCCTTTTTAAAGCCACAGTTATGTTTTATGTTGTTGTTTTTTTTTCACGCAAGTATAAAATTTAAATACAAACGTTTTATGTTTTTTAACTTTTAGGTTTAAGGGTACATGTGAAGGTTTGTCATATAGGTAAATCATGTCATGGGGGTTTGTTGTATAGATTATTTCATCACCCAAGTATTAAGCCCAGCATCCAGTAGTTATTTGTTCTGCTCCTTTCCCTTCTTTCATCCTCCACCCTTGAGTAGACCCCATTATCTATTGTTTCCTTTTTTATGTTCATGAATTCTCATCATTTAGCTCCCACTTATAAGTGAGAACGTGCAGTATTTGGTTCTCTTTTTCTTCTTTAACGTATTTTAAAGAAAATGAGGAACTTGGTTTCTCTTATTCATGTGTTGAATTCAGTAGTACCTTTTTATTTTTCTTCCTTTTTGGTATCTTCTTTTAAATTCTTTAGCTCAGAAGTCCCCAAACCAATACCTAGCTGACTGCACATAAAATTACATAGGGAATTTACAGAAAATACAGAATCTCTGTTTCAGCACAAGTAGGTTTAGGGCAAAGGCAGGAATTATTGCCATTGTGATTCAGATGGGCCTGAAAGCGTGTAAAGTACAGGCCTCGAGCAAATTCTGGACTAAGAGTAAAGCACCTTTAATATTATTGGCTTCTTCTTAGGCCATGTCAAAGTGGTGGCTTAGGCCTGTAATCCCAGCACTTTGGGAGGCCGAGGCAGATGGATTGCTTGAGCTTAGGAGTTTGAGACCACCCTGGCCAACCTGGTGAAACCCTGTCTCTACCAAAGATATAAAAATTAGCCGGGCATGGTGGTGTACTCCTGTGGCCCCAGCTACTCAGGAGGCTGAGGTGGGAGGATCACTTGAGCCCAGGAGGTCAAGGCTACAGTGAGCTGTGATCACACCACTACACTCTGGCCTGGATGACAGTGAGATCCTGTCTCAAAAAAAAAAAAAAAGAAGGCCTTGTGTTAGTGTTAATCTGATAGTGCCTAGAGTATGGATAGACTACCTGACATATGCATTTTCATAGCCATCATTTGTTAAATATGGTAATTCCAAATTATCCAGAGAAACATTCTTTCAGTCCATCTTGAACTGTAGAGTTTTTTCTAAAATAAATTCTGAATGATACTCTTTGCAAGTTTCATTCTTGACTAAAGAGGCATTAATTTCTTACAGGTTTTATTTTTGGAATTGAAGTTGCCCCCAGATGGAGAGATGAAAAACCAAGGCAGCAAGAAAACTTTGGGTTCTACGAGAAGAGGGAATGACAGTGGACGCAAGCTAAGGCTGGGAAGACAGCTCAGCACTAGTAAGGTGCTCTTTGGGGCAGTCACAGAGCCAGGCAGAACCTAAACTGTTTTTTAGCATTTTGATGTCTAGAAAGAATGCTGATGAAATCAAGATCTGAGTCCACCATTTGAATTTACCCAGATATAGATTAACATATTGGTTTGTGGTTTGGTAGCCCACAAATTCTGTGGAGATTTTCTGCATGGAAAATTCAAATCATAATCTTAGTTAGCAGTTGTGTCCCTTCTTCCTATCATTAAAATGGTATAAAGGTTTATAAACCGAACCTCAAAGACATTATTTAATTATTGCCATCCATTACTCTTGGACATCTAATATAACTTAATTCATATAGTTATATGAACATAGAGAAAGCTATGTAAGAATTTTTAAAAAGAAAGGAAACCAGTCAGAACAAATATATTACTTTTAGTTTAAAGGCAAAATAGTAAGTTTTTCATGAATTATTTTTAATTTGTTTTTTGAGACAGAGTCTCACCCTATTGCCCAGGCTGGAGTGCAGTAGCACCATGCTCGCTAGAACCTTCACCTACTGGGTTCAAGCAATTTCTCATGCCTCAGCCTCCCAAAGTAGCTGGGACTACAGGTGTGTACCACCATTCGTGGCTAATTTTTGTATTTTCAGTAGAGACAGGGTTTCACCATGTCATCCAGGCTGTTCTTGAGCTACTGGCCTGGAGGGATCCTCCCACGTCGGCCTCTCAATGTGCTGGCATTACAGGCAAGAGCCACCACAGTAGGCCTTGACTTAAGAATTTAATCTGGTCCACCCTTGGGCCCCAGTTCCCAGCCGGCGCCCACCGTGCCCCTCTTTGTGGCCGCCCAGCGTAGGCGGGGCGGTGCCACCCCTCCATTCCCCCCACCCATGGCCTGGCGTGCAGCTCCTGTCTCCGTCCCCCTCGGATGTGGCTCGAGCTGGAGGCGCGCAAGGCCGGAGACCTGCAGACCCGCTACCCGGAGCAGCTCGGAGGCGGTGAATAATATCTCTTCAAGTCTGCAATAAAAAATGGCCTCCAATAAAACTACATTGCAAAAAATGGGAAAGAAACAGAATGGAAAGAGTAAAAAAGTTGAAGAGGCAGAGCCTGAGGAATTTGTGGTGGAAGAAGTACTAGATCGACGTGTAGTGAATGGGAAAGTGGAATATTTCCTGAAGTGGAAGGGATTTACAGATGCTGACAATACTTGGGAACCCGAAGTCCAGAGTTGATTGAAGTGTTTCTTAATTCTAAAAAAGCTGGCAAAGAAAAAGATGGTACAAAAAGAATTATCTGACAGTGAATCTGATGACAGCAAATCAAAGAAGAGAAGAGACGCTGCTGACAAACCAAGAGGATTTGCCAGAGGTCTTGATCATGAAAGAATAATTGGTGCCACAGACAGCAGTGGAGAATTGATGTTTCTCATGAAATGGAAAGATTCAGATGAGGCAGACTTGGTGCTGGCAAAAGAGGCAAATATAAAGTGTCCTCAAATTGTAATTGGTTTTTATGAAGAGAGACTAACTTGACATTCTTGTCCAGAAGATGAAGCTCAATAATTGTTCACATTGTTTTTCATATATACATATATACATACATATACACACACACACACACACACACACACACATATATGTAAATTTGGGCCTTGGTTTTTGATTTACTAGTGAGACAAAATGACTACATCCTAATGAAAATCAAGTTTGATATGTTCATTTTGAAAGTAGCATTGAAAGAGTTGTTGGGGTTTTTGGTTTTTTGTTTTGTTTTTTTTCCATCCATAGCACTGGTTACTTTGAACAAATAAATAAAAGCTTTCTGTAGTTACTTCCTTGATCAGAAAAGAACATTTGTTACTATGGTATATTATTTCCTCTACATTAAAGAACAGCTTTTCTAAATATTGGGGGAAATGTCCATAGTCATTACTCAATCAAACTTGTGTTCTCATAAGTCTAAGGACCATTCTAGGTTTTTTATATGTTTTGTGTGTGTGTATGTATACATAAAATGCATGTATAATTTTTTTGTTTGTTTTTAAACATTCACCAAAACAAAAAATCACAGGCAAACTCATGTTTCTGAGATGCCATTATTCCAAGCAAAATAAAAGATAATCACTTCAGGTTAAATGGAAAATTTTCCTGAAGCCATACATTTCAAATATGTGAAGAAATAAGTGATTCTAATTAATATGACAATTTAAATTGGATAGTTTTAAAGCAACTATATCTATAAATGCAGTTTTTTGTTTGCAAAATTCCTAAAAGGAAAAATTTTATCACTGCCATCATAGGAGGTTTTCCCATCCAGATGAGGAAACTAGACAAATGCTAGTGTGTTTTAATTAGCTAAACTAAGTTAAATGAACATTAAAAAATCTTCTAGCAGGCCATTTTTCACAAACTGTTGAAATCCTATTGCTGTGTTGACTAAAAGGTCATGATTTATGGAATATCTAAGACTTGGCTCATAGAAACCTAATCAGCTGGTTAGAGATGTTGGTAGTTTAGGATCTGCTGCCATAAATGTGTGAACAACCTTTTGTAATCTAAGCTACTGACCTGTATGTTTTTTCTTTACCCCAACCCATTCCTTACATGTAAGGTCAGTCTTTCAGTTATTTGCTTTACAGGTTCAGCAAAAGCCAAGAAAAACAACTCTGTAGTAATCAGAATGTATCGGTATTTACTGTAAATAATGGTAAACAGTGGTTAATAAATAGTTTTATATTCCTTTTAAAAAAGAATTTAATCTGCTAATTTCAAAGTAAAATTGTTAATCATAAACCATTGGAAACTATGCATTAGTGGGAGAGAAGAGAGAAAGAGCTTAATTTTACATTGTTACTGAAGTTTTAGTGGAAAAATACGGTGGAAAATATGGCATAGAGCTGTTCAAGTTGCCTTTGTGTAGAATTTCAGCCCTTATACCATGATGTATGACTTGTCTGCTCCTAGGAAGTTTCCTTAGCTCCAGGCTGTAGCACAATTTTTTATTTATTCTCACTAGCCCTTTTACTCACAAGTTTCTGTTCCTTAATAGTTCACTGAAAGTCTATAGTACAAAAAATTCAAAGTTTTAAAAATAGATGTCTCCTGATTACCTTGATATGGAAACTATATAAGTTTCTGGGCAAGAAGAAAAACAACTGGGATACTTCCAGTCGTGTGAGGAGTGGAGGAGGAAAATGCATAAAGAAAACAGATGATGTAAAATAAACTTTTGGTGGGGTGTGGGTAGGCAGTTGCTTTGTTAAACTGACAACTCATTTATTTGAAAAAGGTAATTTTACATTGATCATGCTCAGCATTACCACATTTGCATTTTATAAGCTGTAGTTATAGTCTTATCAATATGGCGGTTAAAACCCAAGAAATAGTTTTGAGTTGTAGATATTACTCTCAGATTTAATTTTGAGACAGCATTACTTACATAAAAGAGATTCTAGCTTGCTATGGAATTTGGACAAGAATTCAATCTTACCTTATTATATTTTTTTGGCAGGATGTTTTAAATAAATTAAAGGCATTACATCCTTTACCTGGCTTGATATTAGAATGGAGAAGAATCACTAATGCTATTACCAAAGTGGTCTTTCCTCTTCAGCGGGAAAAGCGTCTTAATCCTTTTCTTGGAATGGAAAGAATCTATCCTGTGTCACAGTCGCACACTGCTACAGGTGATGAGAAATCTTAAGTATAAACGGTGTCCAATTTTGAAGGAAAAACATTTTCATATGCAGTATTTCTTATGATGGCCAAGAATTCAAGTATTGATCATGGGGTTCAAGTGAAGTTTTAAAACTATAAACTACATGCTTTATTCAAAGCATAGGTAGATTCTACCTGGGTACAGAGATCAGTATTGGTTTCTGCTTTTATTTTTTAAAATTAATTTATTTATTTTGAGACAGAGTTTCATTCTTGTTGCCCAGGCTGGAGTGCAGTGGCATGATCTTGGCTCACTGCAATCTCTGCCTCCTGGGTTCAAGTGATTCTCCTGCCTCGGCCCCCCGAGTAGCTGGGATTACAGGTGTACACTACCATGCCTGGCTAATTTTTGTATTTTAAGTAGAGACAAGATTTTGGTCAGGCTGGTCTTGAACTGCTGACCTCAGGTGATCCACCCACCTTGGCCTCCCAAAGCGCTGGGATTACAGTGAGCCACTGTGCCTGGCCTGTTTCCTGCTTTTAAGTACTTGTATAGAGTAACTGGGATGTCTGAGATAGTGCTTTCAATGTGAGTATACACAGGAATTAAACATTTGAGTCGGTGGTCTTACCTAGTTTCAGTCCCATCCCTTTTTTGAGCCTCTTAAGAGTTCTCTGAGTTGAATCTGTGTAGGCCTCTGGGACATCTGTATAAGCATTTTATTTCACCCAAGCAGAAAAGAAAGCTGTAGCGCTCTTTGGATATCTCATGGTCCTCTTGAAATAAGTAAGAGTGTAATCTTATGAGGAAAAATGCATTCTTTCTCTAGGCAGTATAAAACTCTAAGTATTTGCCAAATGTGATGTGTAGTGGAAGAAAGGTGACTTTAACTCATTCATAGAGGAGGCTCTATTGGTGCCTGGTTAGATTGGTGGTATAGAATGTGGGCTTTGACATCAGAAATCAGTATTTGAATCCTGGTTCTATAAATCTTTATGACAAGATACTTAACCTTTCAATGCCTAAGTTTTTTCATGTATGATACAAGGCACAGTGGCTCACGCCTGTAATCCCAGCACTTTGGGAGGCTAAGACCGGAGGGTCACTTGAGCCCAGGAGTTTGAGACTAGCCTGGGCAAGAGAGTGAAACCATGTGTCTACAAAAAGTCAAAAAATTAGCTATGTGTGATATCTTGTGCCTGTAGTCCCAGCTACTTGGGAGGCTGAGGTAGAAGGATCGCTTGAGCCTGGGAGGTCAAGGCTGCAGTGAGCTGTGATTGCACCATTGCAGTTCAGCCTGGGCAACAGAGTGAGACCCTGTCTCAGTCAATCAATAAACAAATAAACAAGGCAATAACAGTCTTACTTCACCTGATGATTCTGAGGATTAAATAGGTTCATAGATGTAGAATATTTAGAACAGTGCATGGCTCCTAGAAAGCACTCACTGTTGGTTACTGTTATCTAGCATGGAGGTTCCATAAGGCGCTGCTTTTGTCTGCTTGCTTTATCTCTTGTTTTAAACTTTCTAATTCTTCTTTCTTCCGATTTAGCTAATCTCTTGTCCCATCCCAGTAATATCTTGCCCTGTTGGTATTTAAATTTCACTTTGAAACATATGATAATGATATAAACTTACATGAAATAAAATCTTTGGTGATGAAAAAACAACATCTACCTAGAGTTTTCAAAGGTGTTGCACATTTATTTGTTCTTTACAAAGCAGAAGGTAAAACCAGTAATAAGAATTCTATTCTTATTACTGATTTTAGAAATATATTTTAATAAATAACTTTTATAATATTTTAGAAATACAAACTTAAGCAAAGCAAAGCCTTTCATCAATGTACTTCATATCTGTTAAGCTATATATTCATGCTTTGTAATTTATTTTTACCATTTTTTTTTGGTCTGCCAGTGTTGCCTCATTAATTCAACTAATAGACCAGGGCAGTGTGCTGAATACGAAGTGTTATAGAAAAGAAGGCAATGTGTTGATGTAAAAAGAGCCTTGGATGCCCTCCTCTGTTATTTGTTAGCTTTGTAACATTGAACAGGCCATTTAATGACAACAATTATATAAAAGGTTATCATTAACTGAACACTTAAAATGTCTGATTTATCAGAAGATGATGGAGTTATACATAGCTAGTAGTCAGCCTGTTATAATGAAGAGTGTGTCATAAAATAGAGTTTTAGTGTTGCTGATAGTGTTATAAAAATCACACAAAATTACTCAAACTTTTTTGGTGTGGCACTTACATGTTTAGAGAAATTCAAACAAGTAAACAAACTGTAAAATATTTTGGGAAATAAAGGCTTTACAATCTACTTGTTTGTTTTTTTTTTTTTTTGAGACATCTCACTCTGTTGCCCAGGCTAGAGTACAGTGGTGTGATCTTGGCTCACTGCAATGTCTACCTCCCAGGTTCAAATGATTCTCCTGCCTCAGCCTCCCAAGTAACTGGGGATTACAGGCACTTGCCACCATGCCCACCTAATTTTTTGTAGTTTTAGTAGAGATGGGATTTTACTATGTTGGCTAGACTTATATGCTTTTTTTTTTTTTTTAAACTTTCTATTCACTGGAAAATTTGCTATTAACCACCTGATTCAAGTCTCCACTTGATTCAGTACTTCTAGTCAGTACTATTGTTGATTCTCTTGATTAATCATAATGATGATGAAGAAAGATGATGATGTCTGAAAGTGATGGGCAAAGAGGCTTCAGTGGTTGTTTCTCCTAAGATCCATTTGATTAGCCTTTACTCATTAATATGACTGCTAACATGTTATAGTGCTGAAATCTGATACTCAAGGAATAGTTCAGTTTATCAGATTATTTCTCACTGTAGGATTGTTTTCTATGTAAAACATTGTAGACAATTTATATATTCATTTATTTTGGGATGGTCTTGTACTTATTTTATCATTGTTAGACACATGAACATGATGAAAAATATTTAAATATAAATTTATTTTAGTTCAGCATTGATAGAGTCTGTATTTTTAAGATAATCCAGAAATGTGAATACCGTTAAATAACCAGATTTCTTTTTCTAATTTTATGTCTTTATTCTGCTTGATTTCAGGACGAATAACCTTTACAGAACCAAATATTCAGAATGTGCCAAGAGATTTTGAAATCAAAATGCCAACACTAGTAGTAGAAAGCCCACCTTCTCAAGCTGTAGGCAAAGGCCTACTTCCCATGGGCAGGTAGGCACTGTTTCTCTGGATCTGTATTAATAAATTTATGTAAGTACGAATGGCTCAAAATAGCTTATTAGACAAATAAATGAAATTAGTTTATGTTTCAGACATACCCATTTCTGTCCTAGACCATTTTGAATCCTGAGTCCATGTGTAAAGAAACTACTTCATGTTTAATTGAATGTTTGCTAAAAGAGCTCTAGTATCTTTGTTAAGCTTTAAAGTGATTCTCAGGTTTGTTTTGTTTTGTTTTGAAATGGAATCTTGCTCTGTTGCCAGGCTGGAGAGCAGTGGTGCCTCGGCTCACTGCAACCTCCACCTCCTGGGCTCAAGCAGCTCTCCAACCTCAGCCTCCTGAGTAGCTGGGACTATAGCTATGTGCCACCTTGCCTGGCTAATTTTTATAGAGACGAGGGTCTCACTTTGTTGCCGACTAGTCCTGAACTCCTAGGCTCAAGCAATCTGCTCGCCTCGGCTTCCCAAAGTGCTGGTATTACAGGTGTGAGCTATCATATCCAACTCTCAGATAAGGTTTTTATTCTGTTTCTTAGCTGCAAATACTGATGTTGCTGAAAATTAGATCTTTTTCCTATATTTGAGACTGCTTTATGTTTAGCTGATGATGTAGTTTGTATCACAGAGGAAAAAATAAAAAGTGTTGGAGCCTGAACCCTGGATGCCAGGCACAGACGGAGGAGAGAGCTGCAGACAGAGGAATGCCGTTTTCAGTTAGCATGCGACATGCCTTTGTGCCTTTCCCAGGTAAGGTGGCTGATAGCTTTGAAGCTTCTCATTGCTGTGAGAATGTTTTTCAAAGCCTGAAATTTGAGTGAGACTTAGAGCATGCATTTGTCCCTCCATCTTTCTGTCTACAGTGAAGCCCGCCTTTCTCTTTGTCCTGCCAGGTTTATAGCAGTCATCTTGTCCTGCCAGGCTTATAGCAGTCATCTTGTCCTGCCAGGTTTATAGCAGTCATCTTGTCCTGCCAGGTTTATAGCAGTCATCTTGTCCTGCCAGGTTTATAGCAGTCATCTTCTCCATGATCTGCTCTGTGGGAAACTTTTGTGGTGTGTGCTCAGAAGCAGCAGTCTGCTGAAACCATGTTTTCTAACGTCAGTGTAAACTTCTTTGCAAAGTCCGGTTGATTTTGTCAGTCTTCACCCTCTTTAACTTCTTTACAGCATTTGTCACTGTTAATCAACTCTTTCCTTCTTCAATTTCCCTTCTCTCTTGACCTCTAAAGGGACAATTTTTTTTGCCTCTCCTTTGAACTTGTTTGCTTTTATGTCTGTACTCCCTTATTCTGCACTGCTGCTTCCTATTGCATGGGGTGGCCCCTAAGGCTATTTTCATTTTGCCTGACCTCAACCCAGTACTCTAGACATAAACCTTTTGTTGTCAAGACAGTTGGAAGTGGTGATGTAACTTGCAGATCATCCCGACTGTTAGTATACATATTTGTTCTTTTATCTGTCATCAGCTGGCAGGTCCAGGTGAGTGCAATTAACCATCTGAATTTATTTAAATTCCATCAGAAACTTATATTCCCAGGGTGAATTCTGACCTGTGATGACATGTCTTGCCAGGCAATTTTTAGTGTTGCTTATGTCTGAACTGTCAGCATACAAAATTCTATCACAGTTATCTAAGAGAGTCCCCAGAAGGTCTGTGTGGTGTATGGTAATTTCTTTCTTTCTTTCTTTCTTTTTTGAGATGGAGTCTCACTCTGTCACCCAGGCTGGAGTACAATGGAGTTTTCTTAAAACACATGAATCAGTTTTTTTGTTTTGTTTGTCTGCAGCTTCCTCACCCGCCTCAGCCTTCACAGAAATTGTGGAGTAGGAAAATGCAGTTGACATACTGAAGAGTACCTCAGAGCCTCCTTGCTCTGGATTAGACTTTGGCCTAAGAGGATGTTATGGCTGGTTGTATTTTTTATCCAGAACACTCCAATTTTCTCCATATTAGCAATAAGGCTGTCTTGTCTTCCTATTATTCATGTGTTCACTGGAGTAACACTTGTAATTTCCTTCCAGAACTTTTCCTTTGCATTCACAACTTGGCTAACTGTATGACACAAGAGGCCTAGCTTTCAACCTGTCTCAGCTTTTGACATGCCTTCTTCAATAAGCTTAATTTCTAGCTTTTGGTTTAGTATGAGAGAGATGTGACTTTCTCGTTCACTTGAACAATTAGAGGTCATTGCCATTGTAGGGTGATTAAGTGGCCTAATTTTAATATTGTATCTCAGGGAATAGGGAGGTCTGAGAGAGAGAGGGGAGAAAGGAGTTCTGAGAGAGAGAGAGTGGGGAACAGCCAGTTAGTGGAGTAGTTAGAACACACACAACATTGATCAATGAAGTTCACTCTTACGTGAGTGTGGTTCATGGATTGTAATAATAGTAACATCAAAGATCACCATAACAGGTAATAATGAGAGGCTTTGAAGTAATATGAACATTACTATTAATAAAATGTGTCACAGTGAACACATGCTGTTGGAAAATGGTGCTGATAGACTTGCTCCACTCAGAGTTGCCAAAAACCTTTAATTTCTTTAAAAGAAACTGCAATATCTATGAGGCATAATAAAGTGAAGTGCAATAAAGCAAGGTATGCTTGATTTTATAAAACTTATATTTTGACAAAGTAGATCACATGCCCATGTTGTTTCAAACATACTTTATTTCATGCAAGCCATGGTGGCTCACACCTGTAATCCCAGCCCTTTGGGAGGCCGAAGCAAGAAGGTTGCTTGAGTCCAGGACTTCACAACCAGCCTGGGCAACATAGGGAGACCCCATCTTTACAGAAAATTAAAAAATTAGCTAGGCATAGTGGTGTGCATCTGTAGTCCCAGCTACTGAGGAGTCTGAGGTCTGAATATCGTATCACTTAAGCCCAGGAGGTTGGGGCTGCACTAAGCCATGATTGTGTCACTGCACTCCAGCCTAGGCGAAAGAGCAAGACACTATCTCAAAAAAAAGAAAAAGAAAATTCCAGTAACTGAATTGAGTACCAGAAACTCATTTTTTTTTTGTCTTTTTCTATGTTTTAGAAACTCATTTTTAAAAAAAGATAGCATCTGTATTAACAAAGCTGGTTCATATTTTCTCTGAAGTATTAATTTGACTTTGAAGCAGAAATATCCATTACAAAACAATGTCTGTACAAGTTAAGTAAATTTACCAACTCTTATGTTACTCATTATGACAGGTTGCGTATCCCTTGTCTCGAATCCTTGAGACTAAAAGTATTTGAGATATTGGAATATTTGCATATACATAATGCGATATTTTGGAGATGGGATCCAAGTCATAATATAAAATTTATGTTTCATGTACACCTTATAGACATAGCCTAAAGGTAATTTTATACAATATTTTAAATTTTATGCATGAAACAAAGTTATAACTTTGACTTGTTACAAGAGGTCAGTTGTGGAACTTTCCACTTGTAGCATCATATCAGTGTTCAGAAAGTTTTAAATTTTGGAACATTTTAGATTTTGAATTTTCAGATTAAGGATGCCATACCTATATTATGTCAAATTCAAAGGACTATTACTTAAATAAAAAAGCAACTCTAAATTTATCAGCATCAGAGCATTTAAAAATTTTTTTAATAGTTGCAGTTTATATAACCTGTTGATTGTAATTATGCTGTATATTGCTTTATACTTGAAAAATGCATAAAGTTATTATTATTGGAAGAGATGGGGGTTCCCGCTGTGTTGCTGAGGCTTGTCTGGAACTCCTGGGCTCAAATGATCCCCCAGCCTTGGCCTCCCCAATTACTGGAATTACAGGTGTGAGCTACTGTACCTAGTCCATTATTGATTAGTTTTATAAAAAGTTTTCATTTCCAAATAAATTCTCATACCTGTCTAGCTAGGTCACAAGCACATTCTTCCCTTTTTTTGGAGCCTCAAATATATGCTGTGTGATATCAGTCAAAAAACATAAATCACATTGTTCTTTTTGTCTTTGATTACAAAATACGTGGCAAGTGTTCTTCTGTTTCAAGAAAATATTGGAGTACAGTAAATCTTTGTAAGACTTTCATGAATCAAACAATGAGCTTTGGTAGCGTACGCAAGATTGTTACATTCATCGTTTTCTATTTTCAGCAGCTCCTTAAGCTGGTGATGACTCAGCATTTGTACATTTACATAAAATAATTTTAACTGTGTTATAACCCTTTTGATGGTCTGATATAGAAAACTGAGCATAAATCTTTTCTATACATATAGTAGAATGAAGAAATAGGGAAACAGACCCTGTTTAAAACTCTAAAAAATATAAGTTTTTAATGACAAAGCTAGACTATTGACTATATGATGAAAGCTATTTTTTTCATATCTACTTGAAATTCTTCTTTGATAAATGTAAAAGATTCCAAAATATCTGTGCCACTAGTTTGATTTTGTAAGCTAAGAATGGTATTTTCTTTATAAATTTAGAAGTCCACTGAGACAAAACCTATTCAGAATATTAATTAAGCAGCTTCTCTGTTATGGGACAATTCTTCCAAAGCCAAAAAAGAAATACTTGAAATTTGATTAATCTCTGATACTGTTAGACAGGTTACCTATAGAGTCGATAGGTAATTGTTTGGTAGTTTATTAGTCCATTGTCATGCTGCTAATAAAGACCTGCCTGAGACCGAGTAATTTGCAAAGGAAGGAGGTTTGATGGACTCACAGTTCCACATGGCTGGGGAGGCCTCACAATCATGGTGGAAGATGAAGGAAGAGCAAGGGACATCTTACGTGGTGGCAGGCAAGAGCTTATGCAGGGGAACTCCCATTTATAAAACCATCAGATCTCATGAGACTTACCACCATGAGAACAGTATAGGGGGACACTCCCATAATTCAGTTATCTTCACCTGGCCCTGCCCTTGACATGTGAGTCTTATTACAATTCAAGGTGAGATTTGGGTGGGGACATAGCCAAACCATATCAGGTAGGTTATTTGAAGATCTTTTGCTTTTTGTAAAATGTGACTGATTCTTGTTATTCATGGTAGTGCATTATACAAAGCCACAATGAACACTAAATTAACAAATACTGAAGTAAAGGTTTCTTTTGTCAGTTTACTTTCACATCAGCTTGGTCCTTTTGAGGCCTTTGAGGCTTTGCTAACAAATGTTTAGAGTAGCCTGCACTCTAGGGCTAGATTATTCCTGTTCATAAGTTGTGGCCTTTTTGGAGTCCACTTGGTGCTGAAGCTGTTTAATAAGATCTCTTCTCGGTCTTGTTAGAGCTTGGTCATTTCCCAGCATTCAAGAATGTGTTGTTGGGCTGGGCACGGTGGCTTACGCCTGTAATTCCAGCACTTTGGGAAGCCAAGGTGGGCGGATCACGAGGTCAAGTGTTCGAGACCATCTTGGCCAACATGGTGAAACCCTGTCTCTATTAAAAAAACAAAAATTAGTTGGGCGTGGTTGCATGCAGCTGTAGTCCCAGCTACTCAGGAGGCTGAGGCAGGAGAATCGCTTAAACCTGGGAGGCAGAGGCTGCAGTGAGTCAAGATCGTACCACTGCACTCCAGCCTGGCAACAGAGCAAGACTCCATCTCAAAAAAAAAAAAAGAATGTGTTGTTGAATTAGTTGTTCAGCTAAAAGCTATGCAGTGTTTGTTCTTCCTTTAGTAATAGTTATTTCTTTAGTGTGTGTTCTTTGCCTGGTGCCCTGCACTTTCTCCCTGCACAACTTAATATTTGGTCAAAAATCCAAGGGGATTCCTGTGCTTATTTCTGGTGCTTCTTTTATGCACACCATTTTTCTCTCCAAATTCCAGCTGCCTCAAAGGCCCAAACTCTAGACTCTGTTTTCTTCATTCAGAGAGAGACACAGTGCTGTGTTTCAGCTACCCTTCCCTGCTACAGATTCTGGAAAGTGCCTCCATTCAGATCCCTGAGAACTTTGTGTGACTCACCTCGTTTCCTTCCCTTCTCAGTGATTATAGTTCTGCCTGGCTTGTTGTCTAACATCTGAGAATTGTTTTTTTCATATAATTTGTCCAGTTTTATAGTTGTGGTAGGAAGTCCACCAAAGTTGTCATTTACAGGTTGAATATCCCTTATGCGAAATGCTTGGGACTGGAAATGTTTTAGATTTAGATTTTTTTTTTTTTTTTTTTTTTTGGATTTTAGAATATTTACTCTATCTTTACCAATTGAACATCTCTAATCCAAAAATCCAAAATCTGAAATGCCCCAGTGAGCATTGACATTTGAGCATCTTGTTGGTGCTCAAAAGTTTTGGATTTTGGAGCATATTGGATTTTGGAATTTTGGATTAGGGATGCTCAACCTGTATTTTAAATTAGTATTTATCTCTATTTTTGAATAGGTTATTAATTTACATGTTGAGAAATCAACATGATATAAAAGATGAGTATTGGGAAGCTTTGCTTCCTTACCTATCATCTACATTATCCTTCCCAACTCTTAGAGGTTACTATGTGTATGAGTTTTTTATATATTTTGACAGTATTTCTTTATGCAGATATAAGCAAATATGGATATATAATTTTTTATTTCCCTATTTTTACACAAAATTAGCATTCTGTCTACACTATTATGTACCTTGCTTTTTTCATGTAATGTTTCTATACTAAAGATTTGTGCTTATCAATAAGGACATTTTAATTAAAAACAGTTTAAACTGTGTGCAGATAGTGTGTGCAGCAATCTGTGGGCGTGTTTGCTGAGTCATGGAGTAAAAACCTGTTTAATTTCTATAGATATTGTTAAATTGCCAACTAATGGGGAGGAGGTTACCATTTCACTTCTCAGTAACAACATATGAATGTGTTTCTTCTCAACCTTGTCACAGAGTGTTGCCCAACTTCTGTATTTTTTGCAATATAGCTGAAGAAAAATTGTTTCTTGCTATAGACTTTTCATTTCTCTTATGAAGTTGAGCATTCTTTAATATATTTAAGGTTCTTTTATTTTTAGTATGTCTGAACTTCTTATTTATAGTTCATCTTATTCTCCACAAGTAAAAACTCTTCTTATGAAATGGCAATGAGTTCTTTGTGATATCAGTTGCAAATATTTTTTTTAATTTTTCTTTGACCCTGCATTTATTTATTTATTTAGAGATGGCATCTTGCTCTGTCGCCCTGGCTGGAGTGCAGTGGTGTGATTTCGGCTCACTGCAACCTCTGTCTCCCGGGTTCAAGCAATTCTGCCTCAGCCTCCCAAGTAGCTAGAACTACAGGCATGCACCACCATGCCTGGCTAATTTTTAAAAAAATATTTTTAGTAGAGACGGGATTTCACCATATTGGCTAGGATGGTCTCGACCTCCTGACCTCATGATCTGCCCACCTCAGCCTCCCAAAGCGCTGGGATTAGAGGGGTAAGCCACCACGCCTGGCGTATTTTTTTAAGTTTGTTTTTGTTTTTTTCATGCATATCTAATCTACCCATTTCTAATCTATAGGTAAATTATTTTAATCCTTTTAATAATTTGCTCAGCTATTGACTACTTGATTTTTTTTTCATTTAATGACTTTGTTATTGTCAGAGCGGGGCACACATTTCTCTCCAGCCCACTTAACATTTGCACACATTGGACACCAGTTTTTTCACACCAGTTTTTTCATTAATTCATTCAACAACCATTTGTTAAAGGCTGATTATATACTAGCAACTGTACAAGGTTTTCTGTAGAAAGAAAATGAAAATTAAGCTTCCTAATGGAAAAAAATGATCTAAGATACAGAGCTGAATTACATCATATTAAGAGGAAGGTTTTAACTTTGACATATGATTTCAAAGTTCTAAGTTAGACCTAAATTTCTGTCATCCTGCTCAATTATATGATATAGAAGTTGGGTTGTGTGATAGAGAACTTTGTACTAGCTTTTCTGAAATCACTTCTACTTCAGGTGGTTTAATACTGGCTGCTGACTACTCTCAGCTTGAACTGAGGATCTTGGCTCATTTATCCCACGATCGTCGTCTCATTCAAGTGTTAAACACTGGAGCTGATGTTTTCAGGAGCATTGCAGCAGAATGGAAGATGATTGAGCCAGAGTCTGTTGGGGATGATCTGAGGCAGCAGGCAAAGCAGGTGATTTTAGTGAACATGCTTAATATAAAGGAGAAGAATTTAGGGACTCAAAAATTTTAAAAACGGTCTCAATTATTTGCAACTGAGAAACCATTTCTCCATCTTTGGATCTTTCAAAGCACATTTCATCTGAGCTTATCTCATGGTATTTGTTTTACTTTCTTTTGTGGAGGCAGTAGAAATAACCAGAAAGACTGAGATCTGAGATCTGAGGCTGCTTTGTGTTAGGAAAACCATATGCATTTAAAGCCATTATATGGCTAGCCACAGTGCCTGGTACTCAGTAGATGTCATGGTGGTGATGATGGTCAGCATGGGTGTGTTCATGCACACCTGCAGGCGTGCGCATATGTATATTTGAGAAACCTCCTTCTAGTCTTCAAGTCTTCTGAGGTAAAGTTCCATATTTTCATTTTTATATTTTCTCCTAGCATCAAGGCATAGCGCTTTGTAAAGAAGGTGGTCTCCAAATGTTTGTTGAAAAAATATTGCTGAGCTGTAGATTATATTGAGTACCTGATAGCTTTTTAGCTCTTGAAGTTATTGGTTAGTTAATCCACTTATGAAACTCCATGCTGCCTTTGTAACTTTGAAATAGATCCATATTAATTTCTACTCTGGATAACTATTAGGCAAAGAGTAAGTCAAAAGGCCACATTTATACCATTCCTTGGCCTGGGTTAACATTGACACTTTCTTACCATATAACTTGTGAGACATCTGATACCATTTGCAAGACAGTAGGATTTCTGGCTGAGGTGAATGTACACCACTGTACGCTGAGATTCTGCTGTTTTTCTTTCACATTTACACTTTTAGTTCCTCACAGCTGTCTTGTTTTGTTTTGTTTTGTTTTGTTTTGTTTTGTGTTTTTTGAGATATGGAGTCTCAATTTGTTGCCCAGGCTGGTCTTGAACTCCTGGCTTCAAGTGATCCTCCTGCCTTGGCCTCCCAAATTGTTGGGATCGCAGGCATGAGCCACTGCACCCAGCTCACAGCTATATGTCTTGACTGGCTCATTGAGCATGGGACATTTCCTCTCACCACCACCTGGTTAACACCAACACTTGTTTCTTCAACTATTTAAAAAGCCAGCTCTGTCTTCTCTATTTAATCCCCAGAGGCGTCCTGCATTTAGCAAGAATCAAACCCTTGGTAAAATAGATAACATTCCCATATTTAATTCTCATAACCCATGAGATAGCATAGCTAATATTATTACTATCACCATTTTATAGAGGAGGAAACTGAAGCACAGAAAGTAATTTGTTTAAGGTCATGCAGCTATAAGTGGTAGAGCCAGAATAAATTCAGAATGCCAGAACTTGGGCACGACTTCTTATCCAACACACTCATCCTCTGGAGACAGCTGCTTCTATTTAATAGACTCACGTGATTTAATAGTGTTTATGCTATACCAGTTTTTGTTTGTATCACCACGTACCAAACCACCTAATCCCTGAGTCTGGCTGAGATCTCAGACAGCACTAAGTAACATGAGTTAAAAAAACAACAGGAGTCACAAGAAAACAAATTGTGGAAAAAAAAAAAAAAAAAAAAAAAAAAAAAAAAAAACCCCTCTCCAAATATATTAAAAAACACAGGGGGGGGGGTGGGTTAGATTTTAGCTATATCATGTTGAAAGTTTATCATGTGGAAAGTTTTTTGGAATTGTGATAATTATTTTAAGCAAATTATATTTTTAGATTTTATTTAATGATATTTATACAGAGCTTGCTTTATGTGAGTTCTGTAAAGTTATAAGTAATAACTCATTTAAACCTAACCATCCCATGATATAGGTATTACTACCTTCATTTTTTAGATGAAGACAGTAAGAGACAAAGAGGTTAGGTGACTTATGCAAGATTATACATTTTGTGAATGGTAGAGCTGGGCTTTGAGCCCCGGCAGTCCTTATGATTAAATCAGACTTTCTTTAATGCCCTATTTATAGATAATTTCCCTTCATTGCTTCCGAAATTTTCTTGAGTTTTTATTTGTATTTAAGTGAAATGAATTCTGCAGTTGTGGCGTTTTAGGTGGCTGTGAGGTAAGAAGGATATTTTTTTCCAATTGAGTCTTCCCCGTCATAAAGTCATGAAGCCTGCTCTTTCTATTTTTAAAGTCTTGTTCAAGGGCAAGGAGAGGGACATTTGTAATGCTTCTCTTCCCTGACTCCTAGGCACTTGAAGTGGAAGTTAGTGAAGTACTGTGAGGAGTAAAAACTTGCTATAAAGACTGCTGGATAAAAGAGAAATAGTCAAACAAACAAACAAAAAAGACATAAAAAATAAATAAAAGAAAAAAAAGGAGAAATAGTCAAAAATAAATTTTTCCTTAGATCACACACACCTATTCATTCATACTCCCTCCTACCTTCCTCTCTCTCTCAAAAAGTAATGCTGAAAGGCAGAAAAGATGTTTGCTGGATATCAGCCTCTGTGGATCTAACTCAGCAAAAGCAATCTAATCATTTTTGACTCACTGTGAAATTAAAAGGTTGCCAAAATTTCAATCCTAATGAACTCTTTTATTTGCATTTGGTGTACTTACAAGCTTTATTTGTTGGATGACTCCCTTTCAGATTTGCTATGGAATCATTTATGGAATGGGAGCTAAGTCTTTGGGAGAGCAGATGGGCATTAAAGAAAATGATGCTGCTTGCTATATTGACTCCTTCAAATCCAGATACACAGGTAATTTATCTTCTAGATAGTATTCTTTTCAACCATCTTACCATATTATATTTTTTAAATTTGTGTTATGGAATTTTCTATTGAAATATCTATTAGAAATTTTCATCAGGCATTGTTGAGGGTAAATAATATTAACCTTGTTATGATCACTTACTAAGTTGTAATAATCTTATTTTGTATTTTTCATTAGAGACAGAATAGTAAAATGTAGTTGATGTATAGCTACTGTGTCATTGTGAACATCCCATAACATCTGGGAGTTGACTTGTGCTTTGGTTTAGATAGCTATAGTTTGAAACAGTAAACTGGAGTATATATACAAGGAATTCTGACAATTGCTAATTAAATATTTGAGGAACTCTGAGAACAATTGCTGTTATAGAGCAGTTTGAGTAGCCTTAAATAATCTTTTTTGCCTGTTTGTCGTGGTATCATTTATATATGATAATAAGATTCATCCTGAAAATGGTATATAGTTCTGTGAATTGTTTTTTCTTTGAAAGACAAGTTTAAGGATGAGAAGTTCTGTGAATTTTGACAAATGAATATGTTCTTAAAATTACACCACAACCAAGATATAGAACCATTACTCTATCCTCCCAAAACGTTCTTTTATACTTTTTTTTAATCAACCCTGTCCCTTACCCCCATCGGTACTGAAGCAAACAATGCAATACCACAAGAAGAAAAAAGCAGATAGATTTAAAAGGAAAAATAAACCTTTTGGTCACATGTGATATGACCTTGTACGTAAAAAATCACATGGCTTCTACAAAAACAATTAGTAGAACAAATAACTAAATTTAGCAAGGTTCAGTCTGTAAAAATAGACTGTATTTCTGTATTCTAGCAACAAATAATTAGCAAATGAAGCATCAAAAGCCATGAAATACTTGGCATAGATTTAGCAGATTGTGTGCAAGACTTATTTATTGAAAACTCCGAAGCAATCCTGAGAGCTGACAAATACTTAAATAAATGTGAGGTATACCGTGTTAATTTATTGAAAAGAGAAACATTGTTATGATGACAGTTCTCTGTAAATTGTTTTGTGGATTCAGTGTGATTCCAATAAAAATTCATTAGGCTTTTGTATAGAATTTGACAAGCTGATTTTAAATTTATATGGCAATTCAAAGAGCCTGAAATAACGAAGATCAGGTTTTGGGAAAAGTACAATGTTAAAGACTTACACTCCCTGATTTCAAAACTTATAAAACCACAATAATCAAGATAGGTATAAGGTAGACAAAGAGAACAATGGAACATAATAGAAGACCCAGAAATAGGCCCATATATACACACACACACACACACACACACACACACACACACACACACACACACACACATATAGTTGATTGATTTTCAACAAAGTTGCCATCGTAATTCAATTGATGAAAGGATGGTCTTTTCAGCAATTGGTGTTAGAACAACCAGACACCAGTACTGGAAAAAAAAATCAACCTCAATATTTGTCTCACATTATATACAAAATTTTACCTCACATCATATACAAAAATTATCTTGATGTGGAATATAGACTCTAAAAGTACATAGCTAAAACTTTAAATGTTCCAGAAGAAAATAAGGGAGAATCCATTGTAACGTTGAGGTGGGCAAAGACTTCTTATTTCATAACATTGGATTAGCCATTAAAGAAAAACACTGGCTTACCACAGAGAGAGAGACTCCATTCATTTGGGAGGAAGTAAGGGTAGAGAATGAGAGTCTGTATCTGGTAAAGCAGAGAATTCTTCCAGATCTTACCCAAGACTGCCAAAGTGGTACCTCTACAGGTCTGCAAGAACCATAGCATTACTGGGTTTAGGTGGCACCCTAATGCAGATACAGCTAAGATAACAACACCCAAGTCTCTTCGAGTGTTTCCAAGAAGGATGGATACAAACAAGCCCAGATTGTGAAGACTACAATAAATATCTAATTCTTCAATGCCCAGGCAAACTTCCACAAGCATCAAGACCATCCAGGAAAACATGACATCACCAAGTAAACTAAGGCACCAGGGACCAGTCATACAGAAATGCAGATATGTGACCTTTGAGACAGAGAATTCAAAATGGCTATGTTGAGGAAAGTCAAAGAAATTCAAGATAACACAGAGAAGGATTTCAGAATTCTGTCAAAAATTTAACAAGTTGAAATAATTAAAAAGAATCAAGCATGGCCAGGTACGGTGGCTGTCACCCATAATCCTAGCACTTTGGGAGGCTAAGTTGGGCAGATCATTGAGGTCAGGATTTTGAGACCAGCCTGGCCAACATGGTGAAACCCTGTCCCTACTAAAAATACAAAAATTAGCTGGGAGTGCTGGCACATGCCTGTAATCCCAGCTACTTGGGAGGCTGTGGGAGGAGAATCACTTGAACCTGGGAGGCGGAGGTTGCAGTGAGCCAACATCATGCAATTGCCCTCCAGCCTGGGGGTCAAGAATGAAACTCCATTTCAAAAGATAAAATAAAAAATAAAAAGAATCAAGCAGAAATTCTGGAGTAGGAAAATGCAGTTGACATACTGAAGAGTACATCATTGTCTCTTACTAGCAGAATTATTCAAGCAGAATTACTGAGTTTGAAGACCGGCTATTTGGAAATTAACAGAAAAGACAAAAGTAAAAAGTATAAAAAAGAGTGAAGCATACCTGCAACATCAGAAAATAGCCTCAAAAGGGCAAATCTAAGAGTTATTGGCCTTAAAGAGGCAGTAGAGAAAGAGACAGGAGTACACAATGTATTCAAAGAGATAATAAAGAACTTTCCAAACCTAGAGAAAGATACCAATATTCAAGTAAAAGAAAGTTATAGAACAGATTTAACTCAAAGAAGACTGCCTCAAGACATTTAATAATCAAACTCCCAAAGGTCAAGGGTAAAGAAAGGATCCTAAAAGCAGCAAGAGAAAATAATAGAATAATAAACAATGGAGCTCCAATATGTCTGGCAGCAGACTTTTAGTGAAAACCTTACAGGCCAGGAGAGAGTGGCATGACATATTTAAAGTGCTGAAGGAAAACAGCTTTTACCCTAGAATAATATATCTGGCAAAAATATTAATATCTTTCAAATATGAAGGAGGAAAAAAAGACTTTCTCAGACAAATGAAAGCTGAGGGATTTCATCAACACCAGAGTTGTCCTACAAGAAATGCCAAAAAGAGTTCTACAATTAGAAAGAAAAGGATGTTAATGAGCAATAACAAATCATCTGAAGGTACAGAACTCACTGATAATAGTAAGAACACAGAAAAACACAGAATATTATAATATTGTAATTTTGATGTGCCAACTATTATCTTAAATGGAAAGACAAAAAGATTAATCAAAAATATCTATAACAGATTTTCAAGTTATAGGCAGTACAATAAGAAATAAATAGAAACAACAAAAAGTTAAAAAGTGGGCCAGGTGCAGTGGGTCACACCTGTAATCCCAGAACTTTGGGAAGCCAAGGCAGGTGGATCACCTGTGAGGTCAGGAGTTCAAGACCAGCCTGGCCAACATAGTGAAACCTTGTCTCTACAAAAAAATACAAAAGTTAGCTGGGCATGATGTCAGGTGCCTGAAATTCCAGCTACTTGGGAGGCTGAGGCGGAAAAATCGCTTGAACCCAGGAGGCGGAGGTTGCAGGGAGCCAAGACTGCACCATTACAGCCTGGGCAACAAAGCAAGACTTTGTCTCAAGTAATAATAATAATAGGTTATAAGACATTATTTTTGCAAGTCTCATGGTAACTAAAATAAAAAACATACAAGATACACAAAAATTAGAAAGCAAGAAATTAAATCATACCACCAGAAAAAAAAATCACCGTTATTAAATGAAAGACAGGAATGAAAGAAAGGAGAAAAAAAAAAAAAAAAACCCAAAACAAGAAAACACCAAAATGTTGTAGTCCTTACCTTTCAGTAATAACACTACATGTAAATGGACTAAACTCTCCAATAAAAAGACCTAGAGTGGCTGCATAGATTTTGGAAAAAAGAAAAACAAGAGCCAATGCTCTGTTGCCTATAAGAAACACACTTCACCTCTAAAGATATAAACTGAAAATGAAGGGATGGAAAAGCAATTCCATGCGAACAGAAACCAAAAAAGATCAAAAGTAGCTATACTTGTGTCAGACAAAATAGATTTCTAGACAAAAATTATGAAAAGAGACAAAGAATGTCATCATATAATGAATAAGGAGTCAAGCAAGAGAATATAAGAATTATATATGTACCCAATATTGGAGCATCTGGACATATAAAGCAAACATCATTAAAGCTAAAGATAAAGAGAGAGATCCTGACAATAATAACTGGAGACTTCAACACCCCACTCTGAGCAGTGGACAGATATTCCAGACAGAAAATCTAAGAAATTGTACTAAATATGCACTATAGACCAAATGGACCTATAGATACTTGTAGAACATTTCATTCAATGGCTACCAAATACACATTCTTCTCTTCAGCACATGGATTATTCTCAAGGATAGACTATATGTTAGATCACAAGTTTTGAAACATTCAAAAAATTAAATTAATATCAGTATCTCCTCTGACCACAATGGAATAAAACTAGAAATCAATAACAAGGAATTTTGGAAACTATACAAACATGGAAATTAAACAATATGCTCATCAGTGACCAGTGAGTCAATTAAAAAGAAGGAAATTTTAAAATTTCTTAATAATGGAAATACAACATACCAGCACCAATGGGATACAGCAAAAGCAGTGCTAAGAAGGAAGTTTATAGCTATAAGTGCCCACATTTAAAAGAAAAGGAGAAAACTTGCAATAAATAACCTAACAATGCATCATAAAGAACTAGAAAAGAGCAAGACAAATCCAAAATTAGTACAGGAAAAGAAATAATAAAGATCAGAGTAGAAATAAAGAATGAAATTGAAACAAAACAATACAAAAGAGCAACAAAACAAATCATTATTGGTTATTGCTTTTCTTTTTTTTGAGATGGAGTTTTTCTCTGTCATCCAGGCTGGCAGACAGTGGTGTGATCTTGGCTCACTGCAACATCTAACTCCTGGGTTCAAGCAATTATCCTGCCTCAGCCTCCCAAGCAGCTGGGATTACAGGTGTACGCCATTATGCCCAGCTAATTTTTGCATTTTTAATAGACACTGAATTTTGCCATGTTGGCCTCCCAACCTCCAGTGATCTGCCCATCTCAGCCTGGGATTACAAGCATCAGCTAAGATGTCAACCACCACCTGTCTGTCCTGTAGACCCTGACTCAATAATGGATGAACGAATGCACTCTCACACCATTACAGTGATACAAGTGGGCAGGGATGGCTGTTGGCTGCTTTCAGAGAGTAAAATTCAACCAATTGACCAAGACCTTCTATCCATCCACAAATTTATTCATAATAGAGGTTCTGAGTCAACATGGTTGTGGATAATTAACATGGTGAAAAGAGTGGTTTTATGAATGATAAAAGCTTTAGGTTCTGGGCCCAGAGTAAACACTAATAACAGGTGATTCCTCTTTGATCTCCCTCTCAGAGGACCATCCAGCCCAAAGTTTACATGAGTAAACAGAGTAGAGACAAAGGGATGTGCGGTAAACAGACTTAAACTGGGAAGGCCTTTGATTGTCTCTCTCTTTCTTATGCTAATGCTAATGACGCGGCTGCCTTCAGCATGCCTCAATAAAACCTCTTGGCCTTCCAAAAGGTTTGAGGTTATAATCTATAACTTTCCCTAATATATTCCTTAATATTTTGCCAGCCACCCTGAGTGAATATCAACAATGAGCCACTGTGCCTGGCCTGAAAATAAGCTGTCGTTTTGTTTTGTTTTGCTTTTGAGACGAAGTCTCACTCTATCGCCCAGGCTGGAGTGCAGTGGCACAATCTTGGCTCACTGCAACTTCCGCCTCCCAGGTTCAGGCAATTCTCCTGCCTCAGCCTCTTGAGTAGCTGGGATTACAGGCATGTGCCACTACACCCAGGTAATCTTTGTATTTTTAGTAGAGACGAGGTTTCACCATGTTGGTCAAGCTGGTCTCAAACTCCTAACCTCGTGATCCACCCGCCTCAGCCTCCCAAAGTGCTGGGATTACAGGCTTGAGCCACTGCACCTGGCCTGGTTTTTGTTTTGTTCTTGTTTTTTTTTTTTTTTTAAGGATAAAATTGACACACCTTTAGCCAGACTAAGAAAAAAGAAGAAGATCAAAATAAAATCCTAAGTGAAAAAGGAGACAGCACAACAAATATCCCAGAAATTCAAAGGATCGTTAGTGGCTACTATGAGCAACAATATGCCAGTAATTTGGAAAATCTAGAAGAAATGGGTAAATTCCTAGACACATAGGAATCCTAGACACATTGAACCAAGAAGAAATCTAAAACTTGAATAGTCTAAGTAATGAGATTCAAGCCATAAATTAAAAGTTTCCCACAAAGAAAAGCCTGGAGCTCAATGGCTTCCCTGCTGAATTCTACCAAAAATTTAAAGAACTAATACCAGTCCTACTCAAACTATTTTGGAAAATAGAAGAGAGCACTTCTAAACTCATTCTATGAGGCCAGTATTACCCTGATCCCAAAACCAGACAAAGACACATCAAAACAAACAAATAAACAAAACCTACCTACAGGCCAATGTTTCTGATGAAAATTTACGCAAACATCCTTAACAAAATAGTAGCAAATGGAATACAACAATATATTAGAAATATCAGTAAATCATGGTAGGGTTTTGGTATGTTTTGCTATATTTAAACCAGTGAATGAAGTGAAGGATAGACTTTGGTTCTAATTAATTATTTCTGTATTTTCTTTGTAGGGATTAATCAATTCATGAGCGAGACAGTGAAGAATTGTAAAAGAGATGGGTTTGTTCAGACCATTTTGGGAAGACGTAGATATTTGCCAGGAATCAAAGACAACAACCCTTATCATAAAGCTCACGTATGTTGAAATTTTTCAGGATTTTTAACTTAATATTTCAATGACATATACTTTTTCAGCAAAGAGGAATACTACTAATGTCCCTTTTAGGGGTTACTGGCATATTAATTGGATCTTCTGTATAGACTAGGTCAACCACTGGTTTCATTACGGACTTCTGAAGTGATGGCACATGCCGGTATTTGCTGAACAGAGTCTGGGGGATTAATGTAAAGATGCACTCACTTAATAATATTTTAAACATGTTTTGTTGCAGTAAAACAGTTATTTATTAGCTTAGGTAATAAGTTGTAAATAAATTAATTTGTAAAAATTTTTTCTTTTTTGATTGCATCATTGACCAAAACTTAATTTTTATATTTGCTAATTATTCTTTGTTTCTGATACCATACACTAATTTGTCATTATCATACCAGATTGCTAACATTCCTCAGAGATTAACCAGTCACTAAATTTTGATTAATTTTTGGTTTATTCTACTTGTTTGCTTATTTTAAAAGCACTATCTGCTCAGGCACAGTGGCTCATGCATGTAATCCCAGCACTTTGGAACGCTAAGGCAAGAGGATTACTTGAGGAGGATTTTGTTTGAGACAAGCTTGGGTAACATAGTGAGACTCCAATATCTACCAAAAATAGAAAATTAGCTGGGTATGGTAGTCTATGCCTGTAGTCTTAGTTACTTGGGTGGCTAAGGTGGGCGGTTTGCTTGAGCCCAGGAATTGGAGGCTGCAGTGAGCCATGACCGAACCACTGTATTCCAGCCTAGGTGGCAGAATGAGACCCTGTGTTTAAAAAAACAAAAAACAAAAAAGCACTATATCACCAGAGATTATTAGGGTATCTCCAAATAGTGAATAAGACTATTTTTAACAGCATTTAAAAGATTTATTGATATCTGCTCAGTCTTTTACTGAATTCATTGGGATTCATGAAAGTATTCTGTGTACTTAAATATTTAAACTTGTAGTATAGTTCAAATTTTCCTATTTTAACTAGATGTTTTTTGCCCTTCACCCATAATTTTGTGTTTTAGTGCTCATTAGATGTTGTATGTAATGAAAATACCCAGCTAAAAAAGAAAGAAAGAAAATACCCAGCTAAACTTCTGTCTGGAGCTCAAAGCCTCCAGAGCATTAATGCTTTTAGAGACCATCGAGGAATAGTTGACTTTTTGTTACCTCTTTACTGTCTAGCCTCCCATATATCCACATGCAGATACCAGATATTTATCAGGCTTTTACTGTATCTCTAAGTGAACTAGTAACTTTAGTTGATGGACTAGGCAACCTAAATTTTAAGTCTTGGAAGAGATAATGCAAACAAAAAAAATATGAAAACATCATTTATATACTTAATTATTTAGGTTTCAGGGAGAAGGAAAGACTTAGATTCTTGGAGGCTATTTAAAGTTTAGGCTCTTGGGAATGAGAAACAGACAATCAGAAAAGGATAACTGAGTGAGAACTGGCTAGAAGCCAAACTAGTAGGAATGGAGAGTTTGAGTTGTCACATAGATAATTTTCTCCTGGATAGATGGAGCCACCTAGAAGCTAGGAGACAAAAAAGCTTCTTTTAAATGACAGAAGGCTTTCAATGGCAGGCTGAGAAATTTGGACTTGATCTAATAAGAATCTAATTATGTTTTTTTTTTTAATCTGCATGATAAAAAATGGAATATATAGTTATTAATGTAAATAAATCACATAAGTTTGTGAGAATTAATATTATTGCACCCGAAGATGTAAGAGAGTAATAAGACTTTTTCATGCCAAATACTTCAGTTCTGATTCATTATGTTGTTGCTGAGGAAAAAAAATTCCAGCCCTCTGAATTAGGAATAAACATAGCCAGGTTATTTTTTGGTTTTTGTTTGTTTTGGTTTTTGCTTTTGTTCAAACTTTTGTTGTAGTGAAAAATACATTCTCACACATAGAGAATGTAGGTTTCACTAAATTATCACAGAGCTACACCTGTGTAACTACCACCCAGGTCAAGAAATAGAATATTATCAGTGTCCCAGAAGCGGCCCTCATGCATCCGCCTAATCACCACCCATCGCCTTCCCAGAAATAGCCACTGTTATAATTCTAACACTACAGTTTTGCTTTGCTAATTTTGAGCTCTAGATACATCATGTATGTATATTTAGTATCTAGCTTCTTTCAAAATTATGTGGGCAAGTCATTCTTATTGTTTCATGTAGGAATAGCTGTATACTCATATGAATATACCATAATTTATCTATTTTTCTGTTGATGAGAACTTGGGTTTTCAGTTTGAAGCTAAGCTATTGTAGCCTTGAACATCCTTGTACAAGGTTCTTGGAGCACATATACATGCATTTATGTTGGTAAAGACACAGTGGTAGGATTGCTGCATATTTTCAAGTTCAGTAGATAAGGCCAAATTGTTTTCTGAGGAGATTATAGCAGTTTGTCCTCCCATCAGAAGAGTATGTGAGTTCTCACTGCTCTGCATTCTTGTCGACACTTGCTATTAAACTAATATAATTTTAGCTATTCTGGTGGGTATAAAGTAGTATTCTATAGTTTTAATTTGTGTTTCCTTGGCTACTACTGAGGTAACCTTACAAATGAGCAAGCTTACAAATGTATATTAACCATTTAGTTATTTTTTCATGGGTAAATACCTATTCTGGTTTTCTTTTTAATTTTTTGTTGAGTTTTCTGCATTTTAAAAAATCAATTTGTAGGAACCTGTTATGGGTTACATTCTCTCTCCCACATTGTGTCCAGCTGTTTCTTCCTCTTATTAGTAATTTTAGATGAGGAAAGAGATTTTTTTTGTTTTATTTTGTTTTTCTTTCTTTCTTTTTTTTTTTTTTTTTTAAAGATGGGGTTTCACCATGATGGCCAGGCTGGTCTTGAACTCCTGATCTCAGGTGATCCACCCATCTCGGCCTCCCAAAGTGCTAGGATTACAGGCGTGAGCCATCTCGCCCGGCCTTTATTTTCTTTTTCTTAAAGACAAGGTCTCACTGTTTCCTAGGCTGGTTTCAAACTCCTGGCCTCAACTGATCCTCTTGCCTTAGCCTCCTGAGGAGCTGAGATTGCAGGCATTTAATATACTTAGCTTAGGTGACAGAACTAGAGAATACCTCTCATGTTTTGACCCCCCTTCCTGGAGTAGACCTTTTTCATTTTCTGAGGCATTTTGGGGCACTGGGAATTATATTCATATATAGATTACTCCTGGATATTAACCCAGACTCCCTCCTCTACTCTTCCAAGATGATTAATTTTAGTAGGCATGGTTCCCTGCTAAAAAGCATTTGATAGCAGTCATTTCAAGGAAGTTGTAACTGAATACCCAGGGATCTAGGATGTGCATTTTCACTAGCAGTTAAGGATTTGCCTCAGCAACCCATGAAAAGCTCTGAATCACATCAGAGGGCTCCAAACCTGCAGGGGCCAAACTCTATATAAGACCAAGGGGCCACTGGTATAGAGGGTATGCTTAGGACATTCCAACCCACATCCCAAAGAATGATACTCTATTTATTTAGGATTAAGATTATTTTGTGGAGTAGATCTTTTAGAATGATGTCTAGAACAGCTAGAGCACCGATGAGCTAAATAAATACATTCTAAGTGCAATGTAGTTTTTGAATCCTAACTGAGTAGTGAAGATTTCTAAACCGAAGCAATCTGATCTTATATTTTTGTCTGCCCTAATGTGGAAACCACAGAATCTAGAGCCCTGGATCATTATAGTTGTTATTCTTAGGATGCAGCCTAATAGTTGGTGTCCTAGGTTCACATCTCAGTCCAGCTTTCCAGTCTGGCTGCAGATGTGAGCACTGATCTGTGGAAGGTATGAAACCATGTTGGCATATCTGGTGGAGCACCTGTTAATTCTTTTTTATAGGCTGAGCGTCAAGCTATCAACACAACAGTCCAAGGATCAGCAGCTGATATTGTCAAAATAGCCACAGTTAACATTCAGAAGCAATTAGAGACCTTCCACTCAACTTTCAAATCCCATGGTCATCGAGAGGGTATGCTCCAAAGTGACCAAACAGGTTTGTTCATAGATGAGGCCTGTGCTGTAACATGGTGAGAATAATTGTATCAGAAATGTAAATGAGAAGTATTTTTTATTTTATTTCTCAACAGTTCTCAAATGTTTTGGTCTCACGTTATACTATTAGAGATTATTAAAAATTTCAAAGAGGTTTTGTTTTTGTGGGTTATGTCTACTATATTTACCATATTATAAATTAAAACAGGCAATTTTAAAACATATTAGCATTTAAAGTAATAACTTATATTTTGATGTGTCACATATTTTTATGAAAATACATCTTTAATGTTTGGCTTAAGAAAACAAAGCTGGCTTTTTGTATCTACTTCTGTATTCAATCTGTTGTAATATCACATGTCTTGTAACCTTCTTTGGGAAACTCTTTGTATAGTCTGGGGTGATACATGTCTCAATTCTGGGAGACTCATGGGTTTCCCAGGATGGGGGAATTTCACTTCTGCACCAGCACAGTTGACCACCTTGCTACACACTTATAAGAAAATGAGACTGAAAAAGGGAAATAACCTGATAGTGTTGTTATGAAAGTAATTTTGACTGCAGATTTGGGGATCCTCTCTGGTCTCCAGACCGTATGTTACAAACATGTTCAATTTTCCTATTTATGACCTTCAGTGTTTTCTGGTCTTAGAATGTACTCTTGATCTCTTTATCACGCATGTTCCTTTGCTGATGTTGTTTGCTTGTTCTTAATTTCATAATATTTTCCTGAGTTCTCAGTTTATTGCTTGGAGAAATTATTTCTTGCACTAACAAGGACAGTGAAATTTTGTTTTTCTCTTCTGTCACATGTCCATATTTCTGCTTTAAATACCATTTCAGGCCGGGCGCGGTGGCTCACGCCTGTAATCCCAGCACTTTGGGAGGCCGAGGCGGGTGGATCACGAGGTCAAGAGATCGAGACCATCCTGGTCAACATGGTGAAACCCCGTCTCTACTAAAAAAAAAAATACAAAAAATTAGCTGGGCATGGTGGTGCGTGCCTGTAATCCCAGCTAATTTTTTGTATTTTTTTTTTTAGTAGAGACGGGGTTTCACCATGTTGACCAGGATGGTCTCGATCTCTTGACCTCGTGATCCACCCGCCTCGGCCTCCCACAGTGCTGGGATTACAGGCTTGAGCCACCGCGCCCGGCCTATTTTGGTTTTTTTAGACAGAGTCTCACTCTGTCACCCAGGCTGGAGCGCAGTGGCATGATCTCAGCTCACTGCAACCTCTGCCTCCCAAGTTCGAGGGATTTTCCTGCCTCAGCTTTCTGAGTAGCTGGGATTACAGGAGTGCGCCACATCTAGCAAATTTCTTAAAAAATATTTTTAGTAGACAGGGGGTTACGCCATGTTGTCCAGACTGTTGTAGAACTCCTGACCTCAAGTGATCCACTTGCCTTGGCCTCCCAAAGTGTTGGAATTACAGACATGAGCCACACCCAGCCAGCAGGCATGTTTTAAATTTTCCTGGGAAGAAATTAAGATTTGGTGCATATAGAGGAAGAAAAAGCTGCTGGAGATGGGGCAGAAAGGTCGTGATCAGTTATTGAGAATGAGATTTGCTATTTCTGGAAGAGACATACATACAGGTTATAGAAAATAATACAGCCAGTTATAGCATGTTCATTTATGCGCAAAAATACATAGACACAAAAGTTTATTTTCTCATTAAATGAGAATGATTAATTTTGTCATCAGTTCCCTCAAAATATCTGAGGCCCCTCGTTCATTTTGAGTGTGGGACGGTGTGTATACACACACACGTACACATTTCTTTTTTTTTTTTTTTTTCCATTTATTTTACTGCATTTTAGGTTTTGGGGTACATGTGAAGAACATGCAAGATTGTTGCATAGGTACAAACGTGGCAGTGTGATTTGCTGCCTTCCTTCCCATCACCTACATCTGGCATTTCTCCCCTTACTATCTCTCCCAAACTCCCCACCACCCACCGTCCCTCCCCTATTTCCCCCCAACTGACCCCAGTGTGTAGTGCTCCCCTCCCTGTGTCCATGTGTTCTCACTGTTCAACACCCACCTATGAGTGAGAACATGCGGTGTTTGATCTTCTCCTCTTCTGTCAGTTTGCTGAGAATGATGGTTTCCAGGTTCATCCATGTCCCTACAAAGGACACAAACTCATCGTTTTTGATGGCTGCATAATATTCCATGGTGTATATGTGCCACATTTGCCCTGTCCAGTCTATCATCGATGGGCATTTGGGTTGGTTCCAGGTCTTTGCTATTGTCAACAGTGCTGCAATGAACATTCGTGTGCACGTGTCCTTATAGTAGAACGATTTATAATCCTTTGGATATATACCCAGTAATGGGATTGCTGGGTCAAATGGAATTTCTATTTCTAGGTCCTTGAGGAATTGCCACACTGTCTTCCACAATGGTTGAACGAATTTACACTCCCACCAACAGTGTAAAAGTGTTCTATTTCTCCACATCCTCTCCAGCATCTGTTGTCTCCAGATTTTTTAATGATCGCCATTCTAACTGGCGTGAGATGGTATCTCAATGTTGTTTTGATTTGCATTTCTCTGATGACCAGTGATGATGAGCATTTTTTCATATGTTTGTTGGCCTCATGTATGTCTTCTTTTGTAAAGTATCTGTTCATATCCTTTGCCCACTTTTGAATGGGCTGCTTTTTCTGTTGTAAATCTGTTTTAGTTCTTTGTAAATTCTGGATATCAGCCCTTTGTCAGATGGGTATATTGCAAAAATTTTTTCCCATTCTGTTGGTTGCTGATTCACTCTAATGACTGTTTCTTGTGCTGTGCAGAAGCTGTGGAGTTTGATTAGGTCCCATTTGTCTATTTTGGCTTTTGTTATCAATGCTTTTGGTGTTTTGGTCATGAAGTCCTTGCCTACACCCGTGTCCTGAATGCTTTTGCCTAGATTTTCTTCTGGGTTTTTATGGTGTTAGGTCTTATGTTTAAGTCTTTAATCCATCTGGAGTTCATTTTAGTGTAAGGTGTCAGGAAGGGGTCCAGTTTCTGCTTTCTGCACAAGGCTAGCCAGTTTTCCCAACACCATTTATTAAACAGGGAATCCTTTCCCCATTGATGGTTTTTGTCTGGTTTGTGAAAGATCAGATGGTTGTAGATATGTTGCGTTGCCTCCAAGACCTCTGTTCTGTTCCATTGGTCTGTATCTCTGTTTTGGTACCAGTACCATGCTGTTTTGATTACTGTAGCCTTGTAGTATAGTTTGAAGTCCAGTAGTGTGATGCCTCCCGCTTTGTTCTTTTTGCTTAGAATTGACTTGGCTATGCGGGCTCTCTTTTGGTTCCATATGAAGTTTAAGGTGGTTTTTTCCAGTTCTGCGAAGAAGGTCATTGGTAGCTTGATGGGGATAGCATTGAATCTGTAAATTACTTTGGGCAGTATGGCCATTTTCACGATATTGATTCCTCCTAACCATGAACATGGAATGTTTCTCCATATGTTTGTGTCCTGTCTTATTTCGCTGAGCAGTGGCTTGTAGTTCTCCTTGAAGAGGTCTTTTACGTTCCTTGTTAGTTGTATTCCTAGGTATTTTATTCTCTTTGTGGCAATTGTGAATGGCAGTTTGTTCTTGATTTGGCTCTCTCTATTGGTGTATAGAAATGCATGTGATTTTTGCACATTGATTTTGTATCCTGAGACTTTGCCGAAGTTGCTTATCAGTTTCAGGAGATTTTGGGCTGAGACGATGGGGTCTTCTAGATATACAATCATGTCGTCTGCAAATAGAGACAATTTGACTTCCTCCTTTCCTATTTGAATACCCTTTATTTCTTTTTTTTGCCCGATTGCTCTGGCTAGAACTCCCAGTACTATATTGAATAGGAGTGGTGAGAGAGGGCATCCTTGTCTAGTGCCAGATTTCAAGGGGAATGCTTCCAGTTTTTGCCCATTCAGTATGATATCGGCTGTTGGTTTGTCGTAAATAGCTTTTATTATTTTGAGATACGTTCCATCAATACCTAGCTTATTGAGGGTTTTTAGCATAAAAGGCTGTTGAATTTTGTCAAAGGCCTTCTCTGCATCAATTGAGATAATCATGTGGTTTTTGTCTTTGGTTCTGTTTATGTGGTGAATTACGTTTATAGACTTGCGTATGTTGAACCAGCCTTGCATCCCCGGGATGAAGCCTACTTGATCGTGGTGGATATGCTTTTTGATGTGCTGTTGCAATCGGCTTGCCAGTATTTTTTGAAGATTTTCGCATCTATGTTCATCATGGATATTGGCCTTAAGTTTTCTTTTCTTGTTGAGTCTCTGCTGGGTTTTGGTGTCAGGATGACGTTGGTCTCATAAAATGATTTGGGAAGAATTCCCTCTTTTTTGATTGTTTGGAATAGTTTCAGAAGTAATGGTACCAGCTCCTCTTTGTATGTCTGGTAGAATTCGGCTGTGAACCCATCTGGACCTGGGCTTTTTTTGGGTGGTAAGCTCTTAATTGCTGCCTCAACTTCAGACCTAACTGTTATGGGTCTGTTCAGGGTTTCGGCTTCTTCCTGGTTTAGGCTTGGGAGGAGGCAAGTGTCCAGCAATTTATCCATTTCTTCCAGGTTTACTAGTTTATGTGCATAGAGTTGTCTGTAATAATCTCTGATGATGGTTTGAATTTCTGTGGAATCTGTGGTGATATTCCCTTTATCGTTTTTTATTTCATCAATTTGGTTATTCTCTCTTTTCTTTTTTATTAATCTGGCTAGTGGTCTGTCTGTTATGTTGATCTTTTTAAGAAACCACCTCCTGGATTTATTGATTTTTTGAAGGGTTTTTTGTGTCTCTATCTCCTTCAGTTCTGCTCTGATCTTAGCTATTTCTTGTCTTCTGCTAGATTTTGAGTTTTTTTGATCTTGTTCCTCTAGCTCTTTCAATTTTGACGATAGGGTGTCAATTTTTTATCTCTCCTTGCTTCTCATGTGGGCACTTATTGCTATATATTTTCCTCTAGAGACTGCTTTAAATGTGTCCCAGAGATTCTGGTATGTTGTGTCTTCATTCTCATTGGTTTCGAAGAACATCTTCATTTCTGCCTTCATTTCATTGTTTATCCGGTCAACATTCAGGAGCAAGTTGTTCAGTTTCCATGAAGCTGTGCGGCTCTGGGTTAGTTTTTGAATTCTGAGTTCTAACTTGATTGCACTGTTGTCTGAGAGACTGTTTGTTATGATTTCCGTTCTTTTGCATTTGCTGAGGAGTGATTATTCCCAATTATGTGGTCAGTTTTAGAGTAGGTGTGATGTGGTGCTGAGAAGAATGTATATTCTGTGGATTTGGGATGGAGAGTTCTGTAAATGTCTGTTAGGTTTGCTTGGTCCAGGTCTGAGTTCAAGTCCAGGTATCCTTGTTAATTTTCTGTCTGGTTGATCTGTCTAATATTGACAATGGGGTGTTAAAGTCTCCCACTATAATTGTGTGGGAGTCTAAGTCTCTTTGTAAGTCATTAAGAACTTGCCTTATGTATCTGGGTGCCCCTGTATTGGGTGCGTATATATTTAGGATCGTTAGCTCTTCTTGTTGCATTGATCCTTTTACCATTATGTAATGTCCTTCTTTGTCTCTTTTGATCTTTGTTGCTTTAAAGTCTAATTTATCAGAGATGAGGATTGCAACTCCTGCTTTTTTTTGCTCTCCGTTCGCTTGGTAAATCTTCCTCCATCCCTTTATTTTGAGCCTTTGTGTATCCTTGCACGTGAGATGGGTTTCCTGGATACAGCACACTGATGGGTTTTGGCTGTTTATCCAGTTTGCCAGTCTGTGTCTTTTGATTGGGGCATTTAGTCCATTTACATTTAGGGTTAATATTGTTATCTGTGAATTTGATACTGCCATTTTGGTGCTACCTGGCTGTTTTGCCCATTAGTTGATGCAGATTCTTCATTATGTTGATTCTCTTTACCATTTGGCATGTTTTTGGAGTGGCTGGTACTGGTTGTTCCTTTATATGTGTAGAGCCTCTTTCAGGAGCTCTTGTAAAGCTGGCCTGGTGGTGACGAAATCTCTGAGTACTTGCATGTTCAGAAAGGGTTTTATTTTTCCTTCACTTGTGAAGCTTAGTTTGGCTGGATATGAGATTCTGGGTTGAAAGTTCTTTTTCTTAAGCATATTGAATATTGGCCCCCACTCTCTTCTGGCTTGTAGGGTTTCTGCTGAGACATCTGCTGTGAGTTTGATGGGCTTCCCTTTGTGGGTAACCTGACCTTTCCCTCTGGCTGCCCTTAGTATTTTCTCCTTCATTTCAACCCTGGTGAATCTGACGATTATGTGCCTTGGGGTTGCTCTTCTTGAGGAATATCTTTGTGGTGTTCTCTGTATTTCCTGGACTTGAATATTGGCCTGCCTTGCTAGGTTGGGGAAGTTTTCCTGGATAATGTCCTGAAGAGTATATTCCAGTTTGGATTCATTCTCTTCTTCGCATTCAGGTACACCTATCAAACGTAGATTAGGTGTTTTCACATAGTACCACATTTCTTGGAGACTTTGTTCATTCCTTTTTACCCTTTTTTCTCTATTCTTGCCTCCCCATTTTATTTCATTGAGTTGATCTTCGACCTCTGATATCCTTTCTTCTGCTTGGTCAATTCGGCTATTGAAACTTGTGCATGCTTCACGAAGTTCTCGTATTGTGTTTTTCAGCTCCATCAATTCACTGATATTCCTTTCTATTTTGTCCATTCTTGTTAGCATTTCGTCAAATCTTTTTTCAAGGTTCTTATTTTCTTTGCATTGGGTTAGAACATGTTCTTTTATTTCACAGAAGTTTCTTACTACCCACCTTCTGAAGTCTGATTCTGTCATTTCATCACACTCGTTCTCCATCCAACCTTGTTCCCTTGCTGGTGAGGAGTTGTGATCCCTTGTAGGAGGAGAGGTGTTCTGGTTTTGGGTGTTTTCGTCCTTTTTGTGCTGGTTTCTTCCCATCTTTATGGATTTATCCACCTGTCGTCTTTGTAGTTGCTGGCTTTCAGATTTGGTCTCTGAGTGGATGTTCTGTTTGTTGACGATGAGGCTATTTCTGTTTCTTAGTTTTCCTTCTAACAGTCTGGTCCCTCTGCTGTAGGTCTGCTGAGGTCCACTCCAGGCCCCGCTTGCCTGGGGATCACCTGCAGCAGCTGCAGAACAGTAAGGGTTGCTACCAGTTTTCTTCTTCTGCTATCTTTGTCCCAGAAGGATACCCGCCAAGTGTCAGTCTGATCTCTCCTTTATGAGGTGGCTCTTTGGATATACAGGGGTCAGGGAGCTGCTTTAGGAGACAGTCTGTTCTTTATAGGAGCTCAAATGGTGAGCTGTGAGCTCTGTTGTTCATTCAGAGCTGCTGGGCAGGTACGTTTAGGTCTGCTGCAGCAGAACTCATAAACCGCTTTTTGTTCCTAAGTGCTCTGTCCCAGGGATTTAGGGCTTTATTCATGAGTTTCTGTTGTGTTGCTACCTTCTTTTTTTTTTTTTTTCCTTCGGAGCTGCCCTGCCCAGAAAGGAGGCAGCCTAGTCACTGTCTGCCTGTAGAGGCTTTGCTGAGCTGCTGTGGGCTCCGCCCAGCTGCCGAGTGAACTTCCCTGCAGTACTGTTTATATGGGTAGTTAGAACTGCCTCAGCAATGGTGGCCCACCTCAGTATTGGCGGACTCTCTCTGGAATGGTGGGTTGCCTCAGCAAAGGCAGGCTGCCTCAGCAATGGTGGGTTGCCTTGGCAACGGCGGGCTGCCTCAGCATTGGCTGACTACCTCCATAGTGTTAGTGTGCCTCAGTAATGGCGGACGCCCCTCCCCCACAGAGCTGGACCATCCTGGGTTCAGCTGCACTTGCTGTGAAACTCTCAATCCAGAGAGTTTCTGATTGCTGTTCTTTTGTGGGGGTGGGACCAGCCGAGCCTGATCGTCTGGCTCCCTGCCTTAGAGCCTTTTTTTTTTAAGTTGGTGTTCCAGTTGACTGTTGAAGAGGAGCCAGGATTTGTGTGTTTTCCCGTGGGGCAACTCACTGCGCTGGCTTAAACAGCAGCACTGAGATTCGTAGCGCTTTTTTTGCCCTGGAATCTACTGTCCTGGTTTTCTGTTCAGTCCCCTTTTTAAACAGATGAATGGGCGACTTCCCATGGCTCCAATCGCCAGCCAAAAGGGCACCCAGACCAGTGTATTTTGTACAGAGAACCGCTGCGCCAGGTCGCTAACAAAGCAGCCGCGCGGGGCAAAGCTGCTGCGCCAGCCAACACAGCTATGCTGGCTGACACAGCCGTGCTGGCAACCCGTGGGGCTCCTCCGCCTGGGAATTTCCTAGTCTGTGGGCAATAAAAATGCAGCGCCCACTCACCCTCTGCACTTTCACTGGGAGCTGCAATCCTGAGCTGTTCCTAAACGGCCATCTTGGATCTATCTTCTACACATTTCTGTTTATATAGACAACATATCATTAAACTTACTTGGGGAGTAATACGGTGCTATATGTTTTGGGAATTTAGAAATAAAAGTTATCAATCTATGATTAAATTTAAAGTCTATTTAAGAAAGGAGAGGAAGCTATGATACCTGACTGAAATATTTGTATTAATTCCACACAGCAGTGATAAATCTCAAAATAAGGATACAGACAATGACTTTAGAGTCAGTGGAAGGTGATATAGCTCTGTCGCTGAGGAAGACCTCATGGTGTCATGGCAGCTTAAAGTAGTATTAGGTGGGTGGGATGAAAGGAAGGTGAGCATGAGGAAGCAGAACACATGGGGAAGAAGAGCATCATGGCATTCTGGGTCAGGAGCCGGTAGCCAAGGGAAATCAAGACGGCAAAGGCGTGGTCATCAGAAAGCAGAAAAGCTAGAGCATCCAGACAGTCAATAGTATGAGCTAAGTGTGACTGCATGGGGCAGATCAGACTTCAGCCAAACTGGGGAACAGAAGTACAGCCTTTGCAGTCCTGGTTTGGAAGCAGCTTGCTCCAGCCTCGGGTGCTTGTGTTTGCCTACTGTGTGAGAGCCGCCTCTGAGCAAACTGGCACTGCGTATAGTGACAGTTGAAGAACTCTCTCTCTCTCTCTCAGAGGGAAGCACCAGATATACTGAGGGAGATGGTATTCATCCTGGGCCTGAAAGATAAATAGGGAATTTGGACAGCAGAAAGGAAGATAACTGCTGTGAGGTTTAAGCAAACAGGTAAAAGCAGTTCCAGTAAAGGTGTTTATGTTGAGCTCTATCTTTGTGTTAAGAAGGGCATAATCTGTACCACCAGGTCCAGCTAATGAGGAAATAGTGACTAAGTCTAATATATATTTTGGAGTTATGGCTACTGGAAGGTATGGATTATCTCCATAGAAAAATTTACATAGACTCTTATATATAACTGCAAGGGGTTTACATACTCTCTGAAGTCCACATTGGGAACCCAGGTTTAGAATTACTTGTTTAGACTGTACGGTCCAATTGGGGAAGCACCAGTTCTATCACGGTGACACTTCTGGCCATACAAAGACATGAGTGTCCCTCTTAAGAAGCACTGCCTAAAAATACTAGTTTGCTTTCCTGGGGCAGGAATCAGGCCCCATACCTCCCTGGTGCTATTACACTCAGATGGTGGTAGGGGTATTCCATGGAATAAGAAAATGTTATTCATGAGAAATAAGTTGGACTAGAGTTTGGCGCAGAGTTCTTAACACCCCATTTACAGACGACTTTGTGAGACTTCCTCTTTCTGGGAGGAAGTTGATGAGTTTATGCCAGATAGGTAGGGTAGGTAGCAACCAGGATGTAGTTATGTTTCTGATAGTTCTTAGTCGTGTGTGTTTTGATCTCTTGATTAAAATTCCCCAGAGTTACTCAGAATCTCTAAAAATATTCTATGACACAGCAACATGCTGATCAGTTTTGCTACTTTTTCATGAAGTAGGATTGTTACCAAAGAGAAAACTGCAAGGGATGTGCTGCCCAATCAGAGGAGGCTTCTTCATCCTTCAACTCCATGATGAACTCTTATATGAAGTGGCAGAAGAAGATGTTGTTCAGGTATTTTTGCAATGCTTGTGTCCATTCCATAGGAAGTCAAGACACTGTATTGTCAGGCTGACAGCTTTTTCCCCTATGCATGAGGATTTTGGAACTCTACCCTAGCCCCAGGATGGCTGTATAAATATTGAGTCCTTATGGGTAGAAAAGGAGTTAAGAGTGTTCCATTTTGTACTAATTCTTAATAAGTTAAGAAACTGCCAATGCAGAGATGTTTTTATCATAGAGAAATTGAACAAAAATTTTCAGTCTTTCCCTGAGGGTTTCCAAGCTCCAAGCATTCTAGCAAAAAGTGTCAGAAACTCCTGCTCATCAGTGAAGAAGAGTTTCAGATGTCTGGTTTTTTTATTTTCTGATCTAGCATTTTAAGCACCACTGGGTGAAGAGCTCCAGTCTGGTTTATAAGGTTCTCAGTGGTTGGCTTGGGATACATTCTTTGACTGGACAGAGAGTTTGTTAACCTCTTTTTTTTTTTTTTTTTTTTTTTTTTAAGGTAGCTCAGATTGTCAAGAATGAAATGGAAAGAGCTGTAAAACTGTCTGTAAAATTGAAAGTGAAAGTGAAAATAGGTGCCAGCTGGGGAGAGCTGAAGGACTTTGATATGTAACTGTGCTGTTGATGAAGTCCTCCCAGGGAAGCCTGTGCAGATATAGTCACCTGGAAAGAACAGAGATGACCCTTTCACCTACCTCAGGAAAACGAACTTTCAAGTCTTCATAGACTTAGCCTAGTAATTTTATAGTGAGAGTTTCAAACTATGTATCAGGGTCCGTTCTTTGTAGCATCAAAAACTTTTGGGGATAGGGAAAGTGAAATACCAAGTATAATAGTTACACTCACTTTCAAAGAGCATCTATGAATTTGCCTTTTGTAATTTACTGTGGCTTTAAACATATTCAGGACAGATATTTGAAATATGCACTTGGCACTTTGGCTCCACATGTCTGGGTAAACCATGAAGAAAATGAAGCTGCTTCCTCTGCTGACCCTGACAGGAGCCATAGGTGGATAAAGATTTGGTTTCACCCTGGTGGTGTCAGGCATTGTGTGTGACTTCTTTTCCCTCTAATATCACTTTTAGAGTATTGAAATAGTATTTCACAATAGTATTGGCTAATAAATTATGAATTCTATAAAGCGGTAAGACTTGGTATGGCTGGAGTCTAGGAATGAATATGCATGAAATGTTTCTTGTTGCTTTTCCTTCCCTAATTCATACAATGAATGTATTTGGAATACTTATATATCATAAAATAAACTAAACCTCTTCAAGAGGTATCCTGTTCTGTAAGATCAGATGTTTTTATTGCAGGTAAATATAATACTGCCAGAGATGGAAAATACCCCCTTACCAGTCCCTTAGTGCCTCTTTCTATTTGTGGCATGGTGAGAAAAACCCATGCTGAAAAGATTATACTTTGTAATCTCAATCAGAGGTATGGAGCTGATCTTCTTGCTGTTGAAATCAAATGAATTCATGAGAAACTTTATATCAACAGTTGTTTTGTTAAAAACGGTAAGTGTCAGAAACTCGTGTTCCTTATTTACTCACTCCATAGCTTGTTCAGCAACTTCTGAGCACATAGGAAGCACTGATTATATTCTTAGTTACCAGAACAGCTCTTTCATGTTTATTAATCAGAATAAAGAAAAGATATTTGCTTTATAAAGTGTAGTGCATTATCAGTAGTTGGGTATTAATGCATAAGAGACTTAGACGTAGTTTTTTGGAGCATTGAGGAGGGCAGAGATGGCAGCAGTAAGAGGGAAGATATCATTCTTTCTTGAGTTTTTTCCATATTTACCTACAATGTTTCTTAAAAGCTGAAGTGCTGTCAGTATTCTGGTAGGCTTGAAAGATCTGGCACAAGAGAAAGCTCAATCTGTTTACCTCTGAGTGTTCTTCAAACATGAGGGCAAATATAAGTCACTTCTGCAGCCGTGGGCCAGTATGTGTAGTCACATGGAATTTCTCACTCCGTTTGACCTGTCAACTGGACCTGAAAAAGGCCCTCCCCACTTTGCATGATTCAGATATGCACAAATCCCAGTTACTATGGTTTACTTAATAACACGAGCCCCCCAGCAACACAATTCAAATTTCAGTTACCGGTAGATATTAACTACAAGTAATTCCATGAGATTCTACTTAAATCCGGAACATACATCTTTCCTTGATACACTGAAAATTTGTAATAGAGGGTATTTTATAGAATGTCGTTCAATTTGGTTTTACTTATTGCCTCATGATTAGACCTTGATTGTGTGTTTTTGGCAGGAATATTACAGAGGTGATGCTGTTGATGAAGTCCTCCCAGGGAAGCCTGTGCAGATACAGTCACCTGGAAAGAACAGAGATGACCCTTTCACCTACCTCAGGAAAACGAACTTTCAAGTCTTCATAGACTTAGCCTAGTAATTTTATAGACCTTGTTGATGTGATTAAGTTAGAGATCTTGAGGTGGTGGATTATCCTGGATTACCTGAATGGTTCCATTGTAATCACCAGGGTCTTTATAAGAGGGAAGCAGAAGATGTGACAAAGAAACAGAGAACTATTTGAAGATGCTACACCGCTGGCTTTAAAGTTGGAAGAAGGGGCCGTGAGCCAAGGAATGCAGGAACCCTCTAAAAATTGGAAAAGGTAAGGAAATGGATTCTCTCCTAGAACCTTCTGAAGGTATGTTCTCTCCTAGAACCTTCTGAAGTCAACACCTTGACTCTAGCCCAGTTAAGACCATTTTGGACTTCTGTCCTTTAGAACTGCATGACAGTAATTTGCATTGTTTTGAGCTAGTAAGTTTGTGGAATTGGTTATCGCAGTAATAGGAAATTCATACATGCATCCTGATGGGACCAGTTACATCACTTCTTTCAAAGGCTGTCTATGATTGGTCACTTCACATCTGTTATTCACTTTACTTACAGATGGCAAAGTGTAGTTGTGTTGATTGCTTGCCTCCCAATGGTAAATCCGCATTCTACAAAAATGGATAATCAAAAGTGGAAATTGGCTAATAAAGATGAAAGTGTAGCAGAGGACTAAAAAATGATAACACTGGAAGTGAAAGTCAAATTGAACATAAATGGAATTACAGAAGAACTAGCTGCCTGGGCATGCTGACACTGCTGCTGTTTGAGATACTGTAGATATGTGACCTGAGAAACAGTGAAGGCTCAGTTAACACAAATGAGGAAAATAGTTGTGGTAAAAGGATAAAGATGTCCCAGAGGAAGTGATGCCAACAAAACACTTCATTATTTTTTAATCTATAACTTACTGTAATTTCATCAAAGTCTCATCAGGATTTTATATTTTTTTAGACAGATAATATCTTAAAACTCACCTGGTAGAAGAATATTATTTTTTTGTTTTTTTTTAATACACTGGTAGAATAGTCAACATCTATTTAAAATGTTTAAATGAGCATGCCCTTTAATTCAGACATTCCACTTAACATCTTACCTAGAGAAACACTTGCACATATGCAAAATACGTGTGCAAATGTTCACTGCAGTCTTGTTTGTAAAATCAAGAGACTGGAAAATATCTAAATACTAGTAAAAGAGTGGTAACAAGTTATGGCTGACAGCATGGAACAATATAAGTGAGTGAAAAAGAATGAATTATAGGTACTAACATAGAATAATCTGAGACATAGTGGAGACATGAATAAGCACGTTGCAGCATAGAAAAAATATTTAGAAGGAAACACAACAAACTGATAACTCGTTAATTTAGATGAGTGGGAGGTACAAGGGAAATACTTAATGTTGTCTAAATTTACCTTATGACTATTACACTATGAATTTATATATCATTTGTGCAATTAAAACACATTTTTAAAAATGTTTAAATAATGGTTGGATTTCCAAACCAGCTCACAAGACCATTCTTTTTTTCTTTTTTTTTCTTTAAAAAGACAGGGTTTCACCATGTTGGTCAGGCTGGTCTTGAACTCCCGACCTCAGGTGATCCGCCTGCCTTGGCCTCCAAAGTGCCTGGATTACAGGCGTGAGCCACCACGCCCGGCCAAGACCATTCTTTAAGCCATAAAGTGGTTGTCCTTTTGCTATGAAAGGTAGACGACAATGCCATCGAAGTATAAGTAATGCAACAAGATTGGAAGTATTTTATTTTTATAATTTTATTTTGAAATAATTAAAAACCCAGGTAAAAGTTTGAAGAATAGTACAAAGAATCCCAATCAAGTCAGAAATCACCACTCAAGTTTTGTTAACTGCTCCACTTATGTCATTTATAGCAAAAGGGTCCAATCCAAGATTAAGAGTTGCACCTAGTTGTCATGACTATCTAGTCTACTTAAATCCGGAACATACATCTTTCCTTGATACACTGAAAATTTGTAATAGAGGGTATTTTATAGAATGTCGTTCAATTTGGTTTTACTTATTGCCTCATGATTAGACCTTGATTGTGTGTTTTTGGCAGGAATATTACAGAGGTGATGCTGGGTTCTCACTGCATCCTGTCAGGTGGCACATGATATTGATTTGTTCCCTTGCTGGTGTTGGGAACTTTGATCACTTGATTAAGATGGCGTCTGCCATGTTTCTCTAGTTATATTTTTCTATATGATTAGCAAATTTTTTTCATGAAGATACTTTGAGACTATGAAAATATCCTCTTCCTCTATCCCACTTTACCTCACTAGTGTCGGCATCCACTGGTATTTGTTGCCCAAGTCATTATGATAATGGTTGCCAAATGGTAATTTTAAAATTCCATCTACATTATTTGTTGACATTCTATTGTAAGGAAGAGTTTTCACTTACCCCTCTTATTTATAACAATGTAAACTAGTGGGTACTTATTAAGTTACTGTTACGACTTTTAATGCTTTTTCCTTTTTCTTATTATATATTTTTTTTGTAGAGACAGGGTCTTACTATGTTGCCCAGGCTGGTCTTGAACTCCTAGCCTCAAGCAATCCTCCCACCTTGGCCTCTCAAAGTGCTGGGATTACAGGAATGAGCCACCAGAATGAGCCATCAAGCATCAAGCCACCTGGTCTTGATGTTCAAATTATACCTGATTTGTCCTGTGTAGGCTTTCAGCTAGCTGCTGTGTCCTTTGACATGTCCTTGTTATTCTTTGAATACTTTATTTTCGGACACAAAAATGTTCTAGGCTTGAAACTAGACATTTCTTATTTTTTTTAATTGTATTTGGGCTCTGGGGTACATGTGCACATCCTGCAGTATTGTTGCATAGGTACATACATGTCAGGGTGGTTTGCTGTCTCCATCCATCCCTCTCTGTCGCCCCCACTCCCCACCGCTGCCTACATCAGGTATTTCTCCAGGTGTTATCCCTCCCCATCCTCCCCGCTCCCCACCCCTGCTGTTCGCCCCTCTCCTCCCCTCCACCTAGCCCTGTGAGTGTTGGTCCCTTCCCTGTGCCCAGGTGTTCTCATTGTTTATCACCCAACTATGAGTGAAAACATGCAGTATTTGGTTTTCTGTTCTTGTGTCAATTTGCTGAGAATGATGGTTTTTGTCCAGTCTATCATCAATGGGCATTTCGGTTGGTTCCAGGTCTTTGCTATCGTAAACAGTGCTGCAGTGAACATACATGTGCATGTGCCTTTATGATAGACGATTTATAATCCTTTGGGTGCATACCTAGTAATGGGATTTATGGGTCAAATGGAATTTCTATTTCTAGATCCTTAAGGAATCGCCACACTGTCTTCTACAACAGTTGAACTAATTTCCACTCCCAACAGTGTAAAAGTGTTCCTTTTTTTCTACATCCTCTCCAGCATCTGTTGTCTCCAGATATTTTAATGATTGCCATTCTCATTTAATGACTTGAGATGATATCTCAATGTGGTTTTGATTTGCATTTCTCTAATGACCCATGACGATGAGCATTTTTTCATGTTTATTGGCCACATATTTTTCTTCTTTTGAAAAATGTCTGTTCATACCCTTTTCCTACTTTTGAATGGGTTTGTTTTTTTCTTGTAAATCTGCTTTAGTTCTTTGTAGATTCTGGATATCAGCCCTTTGTCTGATGGGTAGATTTCGAACGTTTTTTCCCATTCTGTTGGTTGCAGGTTTACTCTAATGATTCTTTCTTTTGCTGTGCAGAAGCTTTTAAGTTTAATTAGGTCACATTTGTCTATTTTGGCTTTTGTTGCCATTGCCCTTGGTGTTTTAGTCATGAAGTCCCTGTCTGTGCCTATGTCCTGAAAGATTTTGCCTAGGTTTTCCTCTAGGGTTCTTATGGTGTGAGGTCTTATGTTTAAATCTTTAATCCATCTGGAGTTAATTTTTGTGTAAGGAAGGGGTCCGAAACTAGACATTTCTTCAGAGACCTCCAGTTCCGTTTAGCAGAGAACAGTAATTAGAAATAAATATCCAGGTACTAGCTGTGCTCATTGCTCCAGGGGGTAAGGGGCTTGCTCTCTGTCCTCTAGGTGTGCAGATTTAAGAAATATATATATATATATTACACAGGCACCTTTATATCACATATGTATGTAAATTATATAATGATACCCATATATATTTGTATACATTATATATACACACTTTGTATTTATGTAAAAATTTACACTGATAGTTTCAATTCTAATCTAATACTACAGGGTTTATTGTAGCTTTTCCTTTTAATTTTTCCTGTCTTTGTTCTCCATCAGTGAGAAACCTGGCTCCCATAGACTCCTGACCCCACTGGGCTGCCCTGCGCCAATGCCAACATCACATGCCATCACTGACCATTGAAGAGTTGACCCTGCCACTTCACTCCAGGGCTGTCTCCTCCCTCTACTCCAGTGCAGTCTTTGTATGGAGCTGCCATCAGCAGCCTTTGTAAGTGTGGCTGACTTTTGTAAGTGAATGAATGAAAGGAAGGGAGGAGAGGAAAGGGAAGTAGGGAACAGAGGGAGAGAGGGGGTGAGGAAGAAACAGGAAGGAAGGGAAGGAGGAAGAAAGGAGGTCGAATCAGTATTTCAAATACTGAATGCAGGTATCTGAAGCCTAAGTTATTGTAATTCAAAAATAATAAGGTAAATGTATATTTGTATTTTTAATCAACAAGTTTTTTGGCCTTGAGCTCGTTTGCTGTTTTTTCAATTTTTATATGGAACCAAAATTAGAAGAAAAATTATGGTGGCGGGGAGATTTTCCTGAGATTAGACAGGATTTAGAAGAATAAAGCCAGTTGTTTACAGCCAGTCTAGATAAATATGAGGAAAGTACCTGAAGAGGAATTAACTATGCTGATGAAAGCCAGAGGTGCAGGAGACAACACTCTCCAGAGAACTCTTGGCGGTTTTGAGTTAATGAATGTTTATCATAACTACTAGGAGATGGAATAAGCCCATAGTAGCTTCATTTTTCTTCCTGGCTGAAGACAGCTGGAGCTGCAAAGAAGTGAGGAGGTAAGGTCTGAATGTTGAGTTTGTAGGTACATCTTAACCACCTTGATTTTTTATGCTGCATTATTACCAAATTATTTTTACTTGTACTTCACTGAAAGTGGACTTCAACAACATCAAAAGTTGTCTTTAAAGTCTTTCAATAAAAAGTAACACATTTCCTCAATTTGATGGAGATTTTGAATGGCTACTGGGTTAATAAATTCTAGTAAAATGTATGAGTTTTGGGAAGTTGTATTTGATAGATTTGCTATACAGTGCTCTCCCGCCCCCTCCCTGCCTTTTAAAAACAATTGCACTTTGTAAAACCATAGTTTATAGTGTTATAAATGGGTCTTACCTCTGTCCATATGTAATCTTGGCAAATTATTAGTGCATGACATAAGAGAGCATCTATGTACAAACGTATACAATTTTTTCTGTGATCCCAGGTACTTTGGGAGACTGAGGTAGCAGAATTGCTTGAACTGGGACCAGGGAGGCAGAGGTTGCAGTGAGCCAAGATCATGCCATTGCAATCCAGCCTGGACTACAGAGCGAGACTCCATCTCAAAAAAAGAAGAGGAGGAGGAGAAGAGATACATTAAAAAACGAATGAAAAGTCACCTATGAAAGGTAGGTGGAAAGGGTGGATATAGGAGTCAGACTTCTCTGACTATTCCTGTTGATATAGTTCTGACTTTTGAATCACAGAAATGCTTTATATATTCAAAATATAAAATAATACATGCAAACACAGAATGTTTTCTCTAACCTAAAACATAAGTGTATTTTAATTGTCAGTGAACTAGGGGTCAAGGCCTTTTGAGCATGAGTCTGTTGATTGGAATTTACTATGGCTTTCTTAGTTAAACCACAACCATAATACATTGTTTAAGAAATCCAGTTTCTGTTTTGTAATGTGAAGTTAGAAATTAAAGATAATCATTGGCTGGGTGTGATGGCTCACACCTGTAATCCCAGCACTTTGGGAGGCCAAGGCCGGTGGATCACTTAAAGTCAGGACTTCGAGACCAGCCTGGCCAACATGGTAAAACTCCATTCTCTACTAAAAATATAAAAATTAGCCAGGTGTGGTGGCATGCACCTATAGTCCTAGCTACTTGGGAGGCTGAGGCACAAGAATCACTTGACCTGGGAGGCAGAGGTGGCAATGAGCAAGATTGTGCCACTGCACTCCAGCATGGGCGACAGAATGAGACTCTACCCAAAAAAAAAAAAAAGATAATCACAAAATAAACTTTGAGCAGTATGATTTTGTTTTCTTCCCTGTCTAGATTCCTGTAACTTTTTCCTTAGAGCTTTCAGTTATCTCACTCATTTTTGTTTGTT